GAATTCTAGTTTTATTTTCTTTTTAACTTAAGTAAAAAGTTATAAGAAGGTAATTATGACTAGAAAAATTATTGCTCCATAAGCTTTTAATTAATACAGAATTATATGAACACTACTAATGAAACAGTTGACAGCCAGTTTCATGTTATTTTCTTTGATTTTTTAATATTTGTGCTATAAAAGCATAGGTGCTTTTACTTCAGCTACACTTCACACCAGCCTTCCATTTTTGCCTTCTGGACATTTGTTCTTTATTAAGACCTCGTCATTATTTTTCAGATCTGTAATAAATTTTGGCCTACTCAGTTAAATTTAAGCTTTGTGAATATTTACTTCAGCAGTAGCAACATTTAGTGAGCAATTACAATATGAAGAAATATTAAGAAATAAAAAGCACTGTATGCTGTCTACAGAGGATTTGTGCTTAGTTGACAAAGCTTTCCAAAACTTTTCAAATAAGGAAAGAAATTATAAAGTTTAAACTCTTAGTTTTGGTTACTATTTTAAACATTCACCTGGATTACTTAAATTCATAAAGCTGGATCTATGTCAACTTTGTAAATAACAGTGAGTGAAAATTACTGGGAGGAAGGACATTTTAATAAAATAATTCCTTCAGACATTGATGGGATGCAAAGATGCATTTTACACTTCTCACACATTTCTTTTATTATTTGTTATGATCCCTAGTTTCCTGCAGCTTTCCCTTTGTCCTGACTCTCTCCCAGGTTTTCCACCTTTGGTAAGACTGAATTTTCCTCTCTGACCACTAGCATACATTCCTTGCTCTGCTTGCTTCAATTTTTTCCCTCCATCTCCCTTAGACTTGCTTACTCCATTAAGCTGCAAATAAACTCAAAAGTCAAATTCAAGCCACAAAAGAGAACGCTCTGGGCCCACAGATGATCTGAGAAGCAATCCATTTGGAAAATGTGTGTTTCTGCCATCGACAGAATAGCTCCAGAATGGCCCTCAGTTGTGACCCTCTAACTTCTTTTCTCTTCCTTTCCAGAGTGCCTGAAAAGATGACAACCCAAGCACCGACGTTTACGCAGCCGTTACAAAGCGTTGTGGTACTGGAGGGTAGTGCCGCAACCTTTGAGGCTCACATTAGTGGTAAGCTCACACATTCACACGGTCCTCTGTCTTCTGTGCCTCCCCTCTGTTAAGTTTTTTGTAGAACTCAACATTAAGCCTAAGCCCTGCTTTCACTTCGTGAAATTGGCCCAACTTTATGGAAGGGTCATTATAAGAGTCTACCATTCCCAGAGTGCTGACAAAATCTAACAGCATAATGGTTTGCAAATGTTTTATTCATATTTATAATTCCACAAAGCAAAATAATTAGCATTGGATTAAAACTGTTGTCAGAGTCTAGCTTCTGAGTAGGACCAAATTTGGTCATTCTATATTTGGATACAGCTGCAGAGCCAGACTGGAAGCCAAGTACTCCAGACTGATAGGGGCCGGGCATGGAGCTACCGGGCGAGTGGCCTGGTGCTGGCTGACCTGTGTGCCTGATCCTGTGTGGTTTCACATGGCAAATCACAAGACAACTGACTTCTCTCAAAGGCAGAACGTTCAATGATGAGCTAACTCCTAAGTATTTCATTCTTTTATTCTCAATCTTTAAGTGACTCTAGTCAGTGAAAAGATTTTCCAGTCATTTTGAAATGATATGTGCCACTTCTTTCACATATTAAAGAGAAACAAACACTAACCCTAGAATTATATTTAATAGAAAGTTATTTTGTCTCATTTTTCCCCTTCTTTTTCTTCTTTATAACTCAGTTAAAGGATGATTTTGAAAATGGAAGATTTCTGGGACCTGTAATCATGTGACAAAATGGTGGTAGTCTATGAACCATATTGTAAATAATCTGAAAATTATTTAATCAACATTTTCTCCTTTTGTAGTATTATAATTGGTTATGTAAGATTATATGAATTAATTAAAAATTGATGCTTGATGCACCTCCATGGTGCATGGTTCTTCTTTTTTCAACTTTATGGCTTATAATAAAGATATAAAATAAGATTTCCTTTTCCTTTCTCTTTCCACATTTGGTTTTCTATTTTATGTGCCAATCTTATTCATAACTGGGTAACACTATTTTACAGTGCACAAATATCATATGTGTAATTTTGACATATCATATGATTTGACATAAATATCATAATCATTCTTCAGTTTCTATTGTATATGTATATAGAGACCCATTCAATTCTTCTCATACATGACAGACTCTGACTGACTTCCAGATAATTTACTTGTTCATCTTGTAACACTCAGTAACTCTTGAGCAAGCAGATCACACTGGATGCAGATCATTGGGAAGTTCACCTCCTTGTGGAGTAATGGAATCTGGCTTCCTCATAGCTTCTTGTTCCTTCACACTTTATGCCAATAGAATTCTTAGGAAAACACTGAAAATATTTGACACCCATGAATTCGTCAAATAAACTATTCACTCGGCCACAGTGGGAGACTGACTTAATGTAAAGACAACAAAATAAACTTTCTCTTGCTCATCTTCACTTCCTCAGTTGAAAGAGTTAGATCACCCGCCTTCATGCCAAAGGCAGAGTAAACCATGCTCTGAATTTGCCTCATGCTTCTGAATGCAGGATTTTAGTATATTTAAAACATCCGACCGTGTACATGTAGCCCCTAGTGCCACGATCCTTGGTGGGTGAAGAGAACTGTACTTTTCTACCTGCGACTCCAAGTATCTGTGATGTTCTGAAAGACTGGGTTCAGCTTCATCCCTTACCTTGTGAGCATGGCATTTTCACTGAAGCGCATTTGAAAGGCAGGAGAGGTCAGGCAGACTGTGTCCCCGTAACCACAGAGGAGGTAAAGAGATGAGCGTGTCCTCTTGTGCTTGTTAGGCTGAACTTTCAGATCCCTTTGCTGCTTTTGTTCTTGATTTGTTTTTGAAAAGGACAGCAGTCACTTTTTTTCCCTCAGAATTTCCTTGGTTCTTCACTTTAATAAATCTCTTTTATGATTTTAATGATGTCTATTAAGTCGCCTTAGATAGACCCCTGGGCAGGAGGGCAGCTGATGGCAGTTCTAGCCCTGTGTGCCACTGCCCGCTGAGGGACCTTGAAAGAATTATTGAGATTTTTTTGGCCTCAGTTTCCTCCCCTGTAAAATGAAGGTGCTGACCTCTGTGTGAACCACAGACCTTCCTAATGGTCTGCAGCTTTGTACTTTTATCCCACAGCTGTCAAATTTTCACTGTCATTGAATAGCATAACACTCTGGATAGCTTTTATGGTTTAAGATAAGGGAGTCAACTTAACGGGACAGAACAGAGGACGTGGCAGTACCCCACACATAAAGATGAATTCTTTGTTTCCTAGGTTTCCCAGTTCCTGAGGTGAGCTGGTTTAGGGATGGCCAGGTGATTTCTACTTCCACTCTGCCCGGCGTGCAGATCTCCTTTAGCGATGGCCGCGCTAGACTGACGATCCCCGCCGTGACAAAAGCCAACAGTGGACGATATTCCCTGAGAGCCACCAATGGATCTGGACAAGCGACTAGTACTGCTGAGCTTCTCGTGACAGGTAGGCAGGAGGGGACCTGCCCATCCCCTGAAACAGGCCACCCAGAAGGCATCTCCAGGATCAGGGGTGGGGGTTGTCCACCAAGAACTAGTGAGCGCAGGCAGCTGGAATCCAGAGAAGGGATCACTGGATTCTGCATTGACAGCCAAGTTGTTTGTCTTGTGGAATTTAATTTTCCTCAAAAAGTGGCTGAGAACTACTTCCTTTATCAAGCACCTAAAACTATACTAAGGAAATGTTAAAAATTGTGTTTCTGAGCAAGTAGAAAGGCTTGGAGCCTTGTGGACGCGCCTACTAAGGAAATATGCATATCTCCAAGAATTCTCACTTTAACAGGCACCTATGATTCTGACGCTAGTGGTCAACAGACTACCCATTTAAGAAGTACTGCTCTGGGCTATGATGCTTAATAATTCTTCATTTACTTTCCATTTCTAAACAAATTGCACTGTAAGCATAGAAAAAGGGCAAATTCTTGTTTATGATTCAAGTGCATGACACTGTTTCCCCATAAAAGTTACCACCCAATCTTTATGGCCTCTGTCATTTTTCTCCATCCTTTACCTTGTAAGACATTAATACACAGAACATCACATTTCTTTACATGTTACAGAACAATACCTTTCATGAACTGCATAATATTACATATGTTTATCCAATAAACTGTATGTTTAGCACTGTTGAAGTATAGGGTTATCATTGACCAAAACAGAAGGAACATCAGGTATGCACTTTACCTTTTATCCAGAAAATTCAGAAGGGACAATGCACAAGGTTGACGGCATCTGCTATTTTTATTACTCAAAAACATGTCAAAATTAATCCCACTCACACTTCACATTTATTTTATCAAAAACTTCCAACATAATTTTAAAAATCTGCTTTTTGTAGCATACCTAACATTAAAGCATGCCATTGTTTGGATTAACATTTTAAATGCAAGTAAATATTCGAGTTATTTGAATATTGATAAAGTTGGAACCAGTTTAGGATTTTATATTTAAATTAAAATGCAATGATTCTGTAAGTTATAGGTATATCCAGCAAACCATTTGAATTTATTTTAATGCAACCTACTGAAATATGTAAAGTTACCTTAACATATTAAAAAGTGCTAGGGTGAAGTTGGGAGTAACTGATGGAAAACTTCTCTAAAAATGTTATAACATGATAACATTTTAAAAATGTGGTGACCTAGAACAGCTAAACAAAACAAAGCAATAAAGTATGATGGTGGCTGCCTTCTGCCACCTCCTGGCTCCGCTCTTGCTGTCATCTGATGGATGAGATGGGCTCAAGGACAGTCAAGGGTATTTGAGTCAGGGAGTCATGGCCTAGTTTCGGAAACAGAGCTGTGACTACCTAAAAATAGCTCGTTGGGAATACCCCGACTGGCACGGGTCCTGATTTCCTTCCCTCTGCCGCAGCGGAGACAGCGCCACCCAACTTCGCTCAGCGGCTGCAGAGCATGACTGTGAGACAAGGAAGCCAAGTGCGACTCCAAGTGAGAGTGACGGGAATCCCTACACCTGTGGTGAAGTTCTACCGGGACGGGGCCGAGATCCAGAGCTCCCTTGATTTTCAAATTTCACAAGAAGGCGAGCTCTACAGCTTACTGATTGCGGAAGCATACCCGGAAGACTCCGGAACCTATTCAGTAAATGCAACCAATAGCGTTGGAAGAGCTACTTCCACTGCCGAATTACTGGTTCAAGGTATGCCCTGCACGTTGATAAACAGGAGGCGGGAGAGGGGACATTTAGGACCGAGTGGGACCAGGGGTCCACCTGCCTCCCCTCTGAGGTCATGGGATACTGTGAGCTGAAATCAAAGCTGGTTTTTCAACACCCATGAAAAGGAGGAGTTTAGAATCGTTGAATCAATCTGTAATTTTTAATGCCACTAGAAGCTGGAAAGTATTTCAGTTAAGTCATCTACATTTTCAAATTATGGGCAAATAATGAATTTTTTTAAAAAGATTCTAAGTAAACTCATATCTAATAATAAATATTTTCTTTGTTTAAACCTAATTTCTACTTATACAAAATCCAAATCTTACTACAATTTTCCCCATTGGGATACCTAGAAAATCCTATTGACTTTGTAGTCAGAATTAACATAACCCCTTTAAAACTGGGTCCTTGTGCTCCCTCCTCAACATTTGTCTTTCCCTTCCTACAGGTGAAGAAGTAGTACCCGCTAAAAGGACAAAGACAATTGTTTCGACTGCTCAGATTTCAGAAACACGACAAACTCGAATTGAAAAGGTTTTCTTGAAATATATACTGTATATACTGCCTTTTAAATTGTTGCTTCACCAACTATTTCTCCTCACCATGGTCTTTGTTCTTCTCTTTGCAGAAGATTGAGGCCCACTTTGATGCCAGATCAATTGCAGCAGTTGAGATGGTCATAGATGGTGCCGCTGGGCAACAGCTGCCGCATAAAACACCTCCCAGGATACCTCCTAAACCAAAATCAAGGTCTCCCACACCACCATCCATTGCTGCCAAAGCACAGTTGGCTCGACAGCAGTCCCCATCGCCAATAAGACACTCCCCTTCCCCTGTCAGACATGTGCGGGCACCGACTCCATCTCCTGTCAGGTAAAGCTTTTTAAGAGAGATCAGGTCATTATGCATTTTATTTATTTTTTTTTTAAATTAGGTTTAATCCGATAAGAAGAGATATAAATGGAAGGAATAAGGAATGTTGTGTGTGATAAAAAGAGTTAAACCAAAAAGATATTGTTTATGATTTTCACAAATCTTTACTGTCCATGGGTAAATTGGAAAACTTTATAAGCTCTAATTCTACATTCTTATTTGTATGCCATTCAATATCTGCTCTAGGAGCTAAGAGAAAGCAAGTGAGATGAGAAGAGCACAGAATTTAAGGTTGGAAGCCCTGTGTTCTGTCTTCTTGACCACCAGCCAAAATGTGACTTATAGAATAATTGTAATAATAAAATATTAATATATATTGACCGGTTACTCTGTCAGACATTTGATTGCACTCTGTGTATATTATCTCAGTAAATAATCATAGCAACCTCTAAGAAGTATCACCCCTAATTTTTTAAATAGGTGGCCGGAAGTTAAAGAAGTTTAAAGAAGTTAAATTGCTTAAGGTCTTAGTCATGTCATTTGTAAATTATAGAGAATCATAGTAAGAATGATCTCAAGATGTGAGGGTTCAATGAGATAATTAGTTGAAGGTATCTTCTGAATATGAATTATACAAATGTCCTTATGCTCTAATAGTAAAACCTTCTAAATATTTTGCATGTGCTTATGTTATGTTATCTAGAATATAAGCTGGATTTCTTTGCTTAGTTAATATGGAGGTATTTTAGAAAGTAAGCATGTATCATCAGAACTCAGAAACTATATAAGCAAGTGTAAACTATCCATAGCAAATTTGAGCTTTTGGGATTTAGCTTAACATGCTGAGGGTTTTTTTTTGTTTTTGTTTTCCAGTATGATAAACTAGTAAAAGGGGAAAGTGTGTGGTTTAAAAAAAAAAAAAGTGTTTCTTGACCAATTAAAAAATTTTTAAATGTAGAGAAAGTTCCCCTGCCAAGAAAAATTTTAAAAGAAGAAGTTAATAGTTGATTCAAAAAATATTCAAACTTATTGTGACATTACTGTCATCAAAAAGTGTGATATTGGTAAATAAATAGAATATACATGGGGAAGCGGAACAGAGGATCCAAAACTTAATCCAGGTACCCAGGAAATTCAATTTTTAATCCAAGTAACTTTTCAGGTCATTGGGGAAAAGAATATTTTGTGCTATGAAGAATGCTGGCCCAATTAGCTATCCATTTGGAAGAAAACAAATGTAAGCCTGTATCTCGCACCATTTACAAAATAAGTTTCATGTTGACCACAAAGTTAAATTTTAAAAAAATCAAAAAACAAGAAGAATGAGAAGAGAATTTGAGAAAACATTTGTTGGGCAGAGCTTTTAAAAATAGATTTACAAATTCAACTACATAAAAACAAAAATTTGTATATGGCAAAAGCAAAATCATTGCTACACCAAATAGTGCATTTGTTAAAAGAAATTTAAGGGTGTCTCTTCCTCAAGATATGTTATTGCCTCTGCCATAAAATATTAAAGCAAACATACAATGCCTGCAGTATGAATAGTACAAGTCTATAAACCATGAATAACCTACACACTGTACATGTTGATGCTGGCTAAGACCCCATAAGAAATAAACAAATGCAAACAGTAGATCTTGGGGAAAATATTTGCAACATTTCATGGCAAAACTCTAATATACCAGATGTATCAAGAACTTCCACAAACTAATTATTAAAGAAAAAACAAGCAACACAAATGAACAAAGTGGAAAATAGCAAGTATTTCATACCAGAGGTAATGTCGATGTCCAGCAAATATATGGGAAAATGCTAGATATTTTCCAGTCTTTATTATAGTGCCTGCTTTAAAAATTAAAGATACTGATAAATACTAATATGAAGCCTTGGCCAAAGAGCTCAGTTTTAAAAATGTGTCTGGCTATCAAGTTTTAAAAATGTTGTGTTTCAGGCTAACTCCAAGTTTGCACACCACAAAATCACAAGACAGACCAAATGTGATTTCTGGGGGAGATAACAACCTCACCATATATTTAATCCAAGCCTGAGAGTCATTTAGAATTAGAGTTTCCCTGATTCTGTGGAGCATTTTGACTGTCTTAGAAGTACTGAGAATTCATTAATAGCAATTCCAATTATTGAGCACCCCAAATTTACTTTAAAATGATTAAGAAATTAAAATGTCAATTTCTGGAGAAAATAACAGTTATCCAGGATGGACAATTTCCTGAATCTTGATTTTTGTTGTAAAGTAAGGCAAACATATTTCACTGAATAAGGTGCATTATATCTCGCTGTGACCAGATGATTATTTTTTTTATTGTAAGAGCAGAAATAAGCACTTTCCTATAATGACTCAAATTACATTGATTTTCACAGTTATAGGCTTACCTGCAACCTGCTGCTAATCATTCATGTCATGCTAATCAGGTCTTTAAGTCTATTTGAATTAGACTCATTTTACTAGGACAGCAAGAACAAGACATAGGTCAAAAATTGGAAATGCATGTCACTTTGCTTTTCTTCAATTAGTGTAAACCCTACATTATTCTAAACTGGTCTTCTTATGTTCAAAGGCAGTCACTTTCAAAATAGAGACATGTTCCCCTAAATCTCCCTTTTGTTGATTACAACTCCATTTATAAAATGTAAATTGATTTTCACCCAAAAATCCTTCTTCAAAAAAATGATTAAGCATTTCCTCATGAAACTGGTCAATATTGTAATGTACTGTTAATTTACTCTACAATTTAGAGTAGATATCAACTGTACCTCGAGCCTTAATTAGAATAATTGTTTTATTTATGATTGATATAAATTAAATACCCTATGTAATGTTCAGAATTTTTCCTGTATGCAGAAGTAGTTAAGTGCAATGATAAGGCAATACTGCCACCTAGAGGGAAAGGTATATTAAACCCTATCAATTAAAAATTAAATTATGAAAAATTTCATCTTAAAATGTTTGACTGATGCCTGGAATTATTACTGTCAATTAGAAGCTGTCTTTTTTTTTTAACTGTAGATAGCTTTATTCAGTACCCAGATTCTTGAGCTGATGCTGTTGCATTTTGAACACAAATAAAAAATGATGAAAACTATTTTGGAAGAAACTATCAGTTTAACCAAAAGCTATATAATCCTTACTTTAGTCACTAAGTCGTGTCTGACTCTGTGCGACCCCATGGACTGTAGCTAGCCAGGCTCCTCTGTCCTTGGGATTTCTCAGGCAAAAATACTGGAATGGGTTGCCATTTCCTTTTCCAGGGGATCTTCTCAACCCAGGAATTGAACCCGAGTCTCCTGAATTGGCAGACGGATTCTTTACCACTGAGCCTCCTAGGAATTATGGAATCCTTAGGTTTCAAATTATCCACTATAAGGATATTTAAAAGAAGTTCAGAGTACAATACAATGAGTATGTGAGGGTAAACAAATACAGAAGATATTTAAATCAGCAGTGCACCACACTTGGACCAGAACAGTTTCCAAAGCAAAGTTATACCCCTAGAATTCTGCAGAATGACTAATGAGAAAGCCTTGCAATTCACAAAGCATATGGGCATGATGAAGGCTATGGGAAGTCTTACAGGAAAATGAGAAAGGTTTAGCTTGTTTTAACCTCAAGTTGCACAAGCCTGTTGATTACAGAAACCTTGCTTCCTTCAACACCTATTTGACATCCCCTTGACCCCCAGAATTGGGAGTACAGAGAAATTTAGAGTTATGTTACCATATTATCTTTGTATTTTGAAGAAACACCTGCTGTCTTGACTTTTCTAAACATGAAATGGTAGGGCAGGGCACCAAATTCTTTAGGATTAAATCTGATTCTTATACAGAATTATAGCAGATGAGAATAAGATTCACTGAAATTTAAAACAAATTACTTTCAAGTATATTACTTGTCTCTGTATAGATTATTGAGCCATGGATTTTAAAACCCTGCCTTAAACACTTCCAGATTTTTCTTCCCTCATTCAAATCTAATGACCCAGAGAGTAGTTCCTTGCCTTGGCACTCTTTGACCTTTCCCATTTGACTTCCAGGTCCGTGTCTCCAGCGGGGAGGATTTCCACATCCCCCATCAGATCCGTTAGGTCTCCCTTACTTGTCCGGAAGGCTCAGACACCCACCATGCCCCCAGGCCCTGAAGTGCCTCCCCCTTGGAAGCAAGAGGGCTACGTGGCTTCATCTGAGGCTGAGATGAGAGAAACCACAGTGACCAGTGCTACTCAGATCAGGACAGAGGAGAGATGGGAAGGGAGATACGGGATCCAGGAGCAAGTGACCATCAGCGGAGCTGCAGGCGCCGCCGCCCGAACTACCTTCGCAGCAGGAGCTGTCGCCGCTGGGGCTTCAGAGGTACAGCTGGAGCTGCCTCCTTCCTTTCCTGTTCTGGCTTCTCTCACCAGAATCCTGCCATGAAGCACAGTCTGTATAGGTTGGAGGAAAATGCATGTGAACATAAGAATACAACAGAAAGTGAAAACCAGATTTGGCTTATGCTCCGTGAAAATGCTCTGCGTGCATGCTTGCTAAGTCACTTCAGTTGTGTCTGACCCTTTGCGTCCCTATGGTCTGTAGCCTGCCAGGCTCCTCTGTCCATGAGATTCTTCAGGCAAGAATACTGGAGTGGGTTAGCGTGCCCTCCTCCAGCGAATCATCCCAACCCAGGGATCGAACCCAGGTGTCTTATGTCTCCTGCGTTGGCAGGCGGGCACTTTACCACCAGTGGCACCTGGGAAGCTCCACAAAAGCTGTGCTCTGTGAGGTGTTTATAAATGTAGATTTTAGCAACATATACCCTGTCTCACTTAGCAGTGATAGATGCTCATGCACATGTCTGTCTGACTCTTGATGACCTCGTTTCCACTGTGTTTTGCATTTTCCGCTGGGCATGTCATCTCAGAAAGTAATATGCTTGCTCGCTGCCAATCCAGGTGAGACAAGAGACGGACAAGAGTGCAGCTGTTGCCACAGTCGTTGCTGCCGTTGACCTGGCCAGAGTGAGAGAACCAGTTCTCGGCGCTGTAGAGCAGACTGCCCAGAGGACAACCACGACTGCCGTGCACACCCAGCCTGCTCCCGAACAGGTGGGCCCGCGGCCGCGCGCTTGCGTGCAGATTTCCCAGGCCGAGCCAGTGTGTTTCGAGACAGCCCTGAGCCCTCCACGGCCCAGACTTTTAGGGCGTTCTGAGCTGGTGGTCTGAGACCAGAGGTGCTCAGGGTATAAGTACTCTGTGTCAGCTCTCTGTCAGGCAGCTCGGCAGGGAAGAGGTACCTCTCAGGTCAGACAAGGTGCCCAAAATAAAGGGGGCGCTCCTGAGTTCAGACGAGTAAAGGGTGGCTGAGAAGCTAAGCTGAGCAAACAAGATCCACGGCACGTGGAGCTGTAGTTCCAAAACGGTCCATCCAGAGCTCAGACTCTCCAGGATCCAGGCAGGGAAACTGTTATTTGAGGGCTGCCATTACGTTTCTCTAAGCTTTCCCTAAAGAGCTTTGCTTTTACTTTCCTCAAAACCTGTGTGACAATTGATTCATAGCTGAAAGGTGTTATAAATCCAAGATAATTTCCCACCTCGTATTTGAATAGGTTTTCTGTTATAGTTTAAAATCACTCGAGCTTTCCTCCTTATCCTCTCCTGTGTGACATTTATGTCTTTATCCTGATTTATCATTGTAGCTTTTTATATAAGGCACATTACAGTGTTTCTTTTCTCTCCCCTATGAAAATCAGATAAGAAAGGAGGCAGAGAAGACTGCTGTAACTAAGGTGGTAGTGGCCACCGATAAAGCCAAAGAGCAAGAATTAAAAGCCAGAACCAGAGAAGTAATTACGACAAAACAAGAGCAGGTGCACGTAACTCATGAACAGGTGAGAATGGGTTTTGATATGAAATTGCTGTTGCTGTTGTTATCAGTGTCAATATAGATAATGCTGTTTACAAGGGAAGGTGTTGTTTTGTGGGCAACATGGCTTTTTCACAACATGGTTGTCCCTGGGTGTTAGATACCAAAGTCTCATAGAGTTCCCAAATGCTTCCCTTGTGCAGACAAAAGGGAGCCCAGGGAACACACACTGGAGGTAGAAACAGGGGTCTCTTCTACAGTGACATGGAGATGCACTGACTACCTTTGAGACTCTGAGGGAGGGAGAAATAGATGCTGAAGTAGGAACTGGGAAGAGTGGTAAAGAACGCCGAACTTTGAAAATAGTTTCGGAACTGCTTCCTGACTCTTTGGAAAAATATTCGAGCATGGATTTGAACTGAGGTGGAGAATCTGGCCCTCTCAGGTCAAATGACCAGAAAAAAAGTGAAAAAGACAGCCCCGTGACTGGAGGCATTGAGGAGCAGATTAGATAAGACCCCATGATACAGCTGTTGGCCAGCACTGCCACTTGTCAGTTGGGTGGTTTGGGAAGATAACTTCCAAGTCTCTTTTAACCCTGAGATCCTGAATTTCAGTGATGATGGCTGAGAATGACAGAGGAAAATGGGGAAAACTGCCCCTCCCCCAGGACCCCACTTTCCCCTCGCATACACCTTAGGTGTCCAGATCCAAGCACAGTTCTTTCTGGGCTTCCCAGCTGGCGCTAATGTTAAAGAACCCCCCTGCCAGTGCAGGAGACTTAAGAGACCTGGGTTTGATCCCTGGGTGGGGAAGATTCCCTGGAGAAGGAAATGGCAACACATTCAAGTATTCTTGCCTGGAAAATCCCATGGACAGAGGAGCCTGGTGGGCTACAGTCCATAGCATTGCAAAACATTGGACACGACTGAAGCAACTTAACTCACAAGGGTTTGGGAAACATTTTACCTGGGATATGGACAAAAATGTTCTCCCCATAATGTCTCAGTTTTAGAAAGACTTGATATTCCAAACCTTCATAATATTTAGGGCATTTTTCAAAGCAAATGCAAAAATATTGTATAAATGTGGATTGTGCATCACCTATGCTTGATTTTTCATTTATAAAATTAAAGAATCAGACAGTATTACTTGTAAAGTCTTCCATTCAAATAGCCTATGCTCTAGGATTTCCTTTAGATGACAAGAGTGGCACAGAATAATACTGCCATATACCCACTTATAAAAATTGGAAGTCTTTTTAAAGACTACACTCTCTAATTCAAAGCAAAGGGTGTTGAATCTATTTTTTTTTTCTCTAAGCAGCATAACTTAACAGTTTAGACAAAGAGCATGGCACTATTAATGAAAATGAGATCATTTTATTTAGTGGGCTCTCTGGAAAAGGACTTCTTTGATTTCCTACTTTGTTATATTTATTAAACATTATGTCAGCTTTCATTAGAGATCAGCAGACTATAAGGTTTGTTTTTATCGTTGATTTCAGATAAGAAAAGAAACTGAAAAAGCATTTGTACCAAAAGTAGTAATTTCCGCAGCTAAAGCCAAAGAACAGGAAACTAGAATAACTGGAGAAATTACTACAAAACAAGAACAAAAACAAATAACTCAAGAAACAGTAAGTCCAATTTTATAAATGCCTTGTAATTTGTTGCCAAATATCACATCCTAGACAGCTATACCTTCCCTCTAACCAAAACCTCTAAGTGGAAGAGTCTTCTGTGTATATTTTCTTTTTGTTGTTTCTCTATGTCTAGTACTGAAATTGTTTCATGATGGAAATTTCTGCTCTCATTGCATAATTTTCCACTCAACTGATCAGTTTCAAGAAGATTGTCTATCAACTAGAATAGTTTGGGGCACGTCAATGACATTTCTAGAGCACACTTAACCAGAAAATAGTGATCACTCCAGCCCAGTTACCCACTGGTACAATCAGTTTTTCCATGCAGAGCCAAGCCCTTGGGCACTTAAACTGTGACTCACAAACTTTACATAGTTGTTAAGACATGCATGCATGTCCACCCCCCCACACATCCACCAGCTATGAACACTTCAACTAAATACCAAGTGACAGTGAGGAATTCCAACATCAGGGAAAACCAGTACTTGTAAGAAAGTGAATTCCTGGTTGATCAACAGTGACCCAGAAGTGTTTGCTGGTTTTATGCCATAGAGCCAAGTTGGAAAAACCTAAATGTTACCAAAATAAACTTCTCTCCCATGTGTTGAATCAAGCCTTAAAGGGTCTAGGAAGAGGCCCCTTCTTATTCAAGTAGATTCTTTCATGTTCAAGTAGATTTCAGTGACACTGAGGTTGTTCCAACTTGTCCAGCCTCTGTTAACCTCAAGCTCTTTGTTGATCTCAGAACTACTTTTTATAAAAGGTCCGACTCAGACTTAAAAGGCTGGTCAGAGGCCATTGGATGAACTTTTCTCTCCTTACAGTGGGTGAGAGAGTTTGAATGCACAGGAACCTAAGTTGCATAATCAAGAGCATAGAAATCCTTGTTGCCATTCCAAGGCTGATAACTGAGAAGTTCAATAACCATAGTTGTTTAGCCATTTGCCAGTGAGTACTCACTAAGTTCGCTAATGTGTCAATATATCTCAAAGATGAGAACTTTTCAGTTTCTAAGACAATTTACTAAGGGGCAGGTGGGCAGAAAAGAAGTCCATTTTGGGGTGTTAAACACAAGTGTAGGCCCTGAAAACAGAGTTGTGGTATTTCCTCTCTCACCACTAAGCATTCTGTATCCTCCTGAATGTTACAAAGTTGACTCGCCATTTCTCCTATGCCTTTTGAAACTCAAACCTTTATTTTACTCTGAAAATCAGATAATACAGAAAGCTGAGACAGCTGCTGTGTCCATGGTGGTAGTTGAAACTGCCAAGCCCACGAAACTAGAAACAATTCTGGGAGCCCAAGAAGAAATTGTCACACAACAAGATCAAATGCACATAACTCATGAAAAGGTGACAGTTCTTGCTGGTGTGAAATTCACTCTTGTTTCATTCCGTTTACAAGCCACCTACATTTTCATCCTGGGTCTTAAAATGATCACTTTTTCACCTTCTCCTCTTCTTATAACTCATACAGGAAGCTTCACAATCTCTCAAGAACCTTTTGCTATCTGTCTAGCTTTCACCGCCACTTTTCATTCCTAACTTCTGTATTTCCTTAGGATTGTTACTCATATAATATTATAATGCATTTTAATATTTAACATGTTTCTATTGAAGATTCCAGTGTACAAGTCAATTGATATAATGCAAGGTTATGTGTTATTGATGGCTCTATTGGCATTTCCCACAAATTATGAGAATAATGTGAAAAATGCATCCTTTTATTGCTCATCACAGTTTTTTGTTTTAGACTGAACTTATTTTGTTATTGCTACTAATGAAACTATATTGATGATCAAAGCAACTCAAATGACAAAATGTCTTTGAGTAGGAAGAAATATTCTTCCTTTCTCAACTTTGACTTACCTTTTTTTTAAATTAGAGCTGAATGAAATTTAATGACCATTTTCTCACCTTTTTTTTTTTTTAAATCATATGACCAGATATTGAAAGAGACTAGGAAAACAGTGGTACCTAAAGTCATAGTTGCCACACCCAAAGTCAAAGAACAAGATGTATTATCAAGAACTAGAGAAGGCATCACTACCAAAAGAGAGCAAGTTCAAGTAACTCAGGAAAAGGTGAATACAGATATTCAAGATGGGAAAAGTTCATCTTTAAACTAATTTCTAGTAAACCATTAACTGCGATGTGATATGAATTATTAATCTGTATTTTCCTTTTTGAATCCCCAACTAAAAACCACATGGTGAATGTGTGACTTTTTCTCATTACCTTTATCTGCACCTTTGATTTTTATTCATCTGTAACATTGGTAATTCATTTTATTCACCATTATCCTTTGCATGAAGATTAGCATTTTTAGCTTGATTTCTAGAAAGCAATATATGGGATCACCTGAAGATATTTTTTTTTTGTAGTTAACATTTCTAAGGTTTGTGATTCCCAGTCAGTGTGTGCACACACTGCCCCAGTGAAAGTTAACTTCTTTTGTGTAGTTAACCCTGAATAACTTCGTCTTGCATCCCCACTAAAAGGGGGGAAGGGTCATTCCATATACGTCTAAAGCCCTGTGCAATTTAAACTTGATTTTACTGTGATAATCAGATGAGAAAGGAAGCTGAGAAAACTGCCTTGTCTACAATAGCAGTTGCTACTGCTAAAGCCAAAGAACAAGAAACAATACTGAGAACTAGAGAAGAAATGGCTACTAGACAAGAACAAATCCAAGTTACTCATGGAAAGGTGACTATTGCTATTCCAAGTGTGAAATCCCCTATTATAATACACTGATACTAAATCTCATGTGAAATCCTCTATTATAATACTTTAATACCAAGTCTCAGAATTTCTTATGAGACACTATTAACCTAATTTATTTTTAGTTATACAATTGGAAAGTTAAAAAACAAATTATTTATTATTGTTAATATTACTACATAATCCTTTCCTCACTGATTGCTTTACTACTATTTTCCATTTTTTATTAATGTCTAGAATTCTCCAGAAGCTAATGATGGAAATTGCATGCAGGCTGTATAAAATTACAGTATTTTTATCTTTAGACTTGTACACATGGACCATTCAAAACTAAAAGCAGGGGTTTTATTAAGGTAGTCAATTTATGAATATATTTTTTTCAATTTTAGATGTGTTAATTTCTTGATTTTATGTGTATGAAGTTTCAGTTATGCAAGTTGAGTAAGTTCTAGAGATCTATTGAACAACATTGTGCCTAGAGTTAACAATACTATATTGTGTGTTTAAAGAGTTGACATCATGTTAAGTGTACTTACCACAATAAAGCATGAAATCATGGGAAATGGGGAAAAAAAAGAAATTGCATGCAGGCTAATTTTAAGAAACGACATGGACATTTAAATATATATATATATATGTAAATAATGACTTTTACTGTTAAGAAGATATAGATTTTGAGGGGTTCATAAATTCAGTATCTTACGTTGTAGAGTATGGGGTTATTTTAAGAAATAACCTATAATTTTCATCATGTGAAACACTATCTTTTTTCTCTCTGCAAAAATCAGATGAGGAAAGAAGCTGAGGAAATCATAGTGCCTGCTATACTAGCTCTCACTAACACTGAACAAGATACAATATTAAAATCTTGAGAAGAAATCCAACCAGAATAAATACACACAAGCTATGAAAATGTTGTTTATAGCATCTATTTGTGGCTATGAAATTTCCATGAATTAACCTACTTCCCATGAATCTGTGCCTTGGGTACTGAGTAAACTATTTACCTAATTTTATTCTTTATTGCTAATATAGTAACTGGATATTAGCAACTAAAGTTTTTCAATTTCTTTAGTATCGTAACATTCCTGTCTGTATTTCCCTCAATGCTGTTCTCTACATCTACATGTTTGGGTTTTTTCCTAAGACACGATTTAGGATCAGCTGTTAAACATTACCCAAGTCTAATATTGGGCTTCCCTCATAGCTCAGCTGGTAAAGAACCCACCTGCAGTGCCGGAGACCCCGGTTTGGTTCCTGGGTTGGGAAGATCTGCTGGAAAGGGGATAGGCTACCCACTCCAGTATCCTTGGGCTTTCCTGCTGGCTCAGCTGGTAAAGAATCTGCCTGCAACGTGGTAGACCTGGGTTCAATCCCTGGGTTTGAAAGATCCTCTGGAGAAGGGAAAGGCTACCCACTCTAGTATTCTGGCCTGGAAAATTCTATGGACTGTATGTATAGCCCTTGGGGTCACGAAGAGTCAGCCACGACTGAGTGACTTTTACTCCACACTCAAGTCTAATCTTGAATGGAATATCAACCTTTTTGAAGTCTCATTGGCATCAGAAATTCCAATATGTAACATAACCTCATTTTTTGTTTGTTCTGAACCCCACAAATTTGACTATCTAATTTTTGTTATTTAAAATTAGCTAAGAATGGAAGCTAAGAAAATGTCTACACCCAAAATAATAGTTACTAGTGCAAAATCTACTGAATCAGCCACACTGCCTAGAACTAGAAAAGGATTTGCTACTAAGCAGGAACAAATGCATCTTTTTCATAAGTAGATGAAAACTGATGCAGTGGAAGTGAAAAGCATTGTTTCATCCCATTTCATCATCAGTTCTCCTAACTTTTCATCCATCATGAGTCATTGTGCTTCTGCTGTTCCAAATAATTGCTTGACTGATCAACAGAACATTAGAGACAATTAGATTCGGTCGAGTTCTTTCAGTGGAACAGCATTTCTAGTTGTGAAAAGTCGGATTAAATAACACTTTTCTAATTACTCTCAACTTAAATTGATAGGAATTGAGATCTCCAATTCTTCCTGATTATCTAGTTTAGAAAAATATGAGGGATATTAGAGTCAGAAAGAAATAAGAAAGAGAAGCGGCTATCAGCCTAGAATACTCATTTGTGATTGTCCCCCAAAGTGAGGGTATGGGTCCACCAGCATGTGTATATAGAGTTGATATATGTTAACTCAGGAAAAAAACATATAAATGCTTCCCCAGTTTAAAATATCTTACCGTAGTTAAGATTCTTTTTGGCATAAGTTTTAAGAATGACCTTCATCTATGTTATTTGGCAAGTGACAGTTTCTTCGAACCTAAGGTTTCTCATTATTAAAATAGAACAATTTATTTCATAGACTGGTTGAAAGATTCAAATGAGATGTAATGTAAATGTAATCATTTTACAGGCAAAGTTATTTATTTATTATTTATATAAACAAATATAAATCTGTTGAAGATGGTAACATTTTAAAACAGCTCTAAAATTAAAGTCAACCTAAGGCCCATGTGGTTTTAAAAAAGAAACAACCAGATGAATTAACTTAAACCACCTAATCCTCACATGTATCTTACAGTTTGTTCTAAGATGCAATCTAAAGTGAAAATGGTATCTATCCTTCTTCGAGGCAGATTAGATTGTTTGTGGCTTCCTGGAAGGAGAGCTAGATGAAGCCTGTGATCACTAAAGGCCCAATTTCATCTCAAAAATACCGCATTTATATATTAAATGGTTCTGATCATTTACCATTTGAGCAGATATATAGAAGTAGTACACTTGAAAAACTTTTCAGATGCAATCTAGGTTCTACTCGCAGCAGCAGAAAACTGGACATTAATAAAATATTCCAGCATTCTTTTAAACAGCACTGATGGACATGGTGATGTGATGTTTGCAATGTGCTGTTTCTAAGTATTGCACAGAATCATAACATATGAGCCATATCAACTGGCTTGCTTTCTATAAAAGAGAAACTCCTTTGCAAACTGTGTTCCCATTTATGGTAATCATATTCATAGAAATGAGAAAACAACATTTCGTTTTTCTTCTTCACTTTAACTTTCAGTGGTAATGACAGTAAATTGAACTTTGCTATGAAAGGTTGTTCTCTTGAATCCAAATAGGATAACACTTTCATTTTCATCACAGCATCTTCATTCGTGTGTTTTAAGAAAGATATGTTCTAATAAATTAAAAATTTCTTATCCCTAGGGAATCATAAGTAAATTAATATGTTCCCTGTGTGTTCACAAGCTTTCTTGTTATCTCAGATTTGCATGTGAGTATGAAATGCTGCAGCAGCTGATTTTTTTCTAGATGGGACTGTGACAGCATTTGAGGGCATTTTTATGATCACTGTCACTGCACCTACACCAGACTGAATGATTGGCAATAGAGAATAATCAATTAAGATAACCAACCCCAAAGTTCTGACTTTACAAGTGCTGTCTGTCTGCCATGGACAAAATACTGGACAAACTCAAAACTTCTTTACTATTTTATACACATATTGTGTTGTCCTATGTTGTGTTTGTGTGATTTAATGTCTAATTAAGCCAGGCTTCATAGAGTGTATCTAACTAGATGTCTACACATTATAATGATCAGTGAAACATGAAGTTCTGAAATGCATTTATAAGTCACATTTCTGGAGACATTAACATGGTTGTGTAGCATAGGCACCATCTGCCCATCACGCCTTATAGGCATTTGTCTTTTCTCGATGACTATCCCAGGAGGAAAAGTCCCAACCTGACTTTGACATACTGAGTGTTAATTCTGGAAACCTTGTCTGCAGGTGGGCGTTGGGAAAAAGGCGGAAGCTGTAGCAACAGTGGTTGCTGCAGTTGATCAGGCCCGAGTTCGAGAGCCCAGAGAACCCGGACATGTTGAAGAATCATACGCTCAGCAGACCACTTTGGAGTATGGATATAAGGAGCACGTTTCCGCCACAAAGGTAGCTGAGCAGCCCCCACGTCCAGCCTCAGAGCCCCACGTTGTCCCTAAAGCAGTCAAGCCTAGAGTAATCCATGCTCCTTCTGAGACTCATATCACAACTACTGATCAAATGGGAATGCACATATCATCACAGGTGAGTTTGAACCCACTGCCTGTTTCTGGGAAAGCAAGCATAACTGCTGTGGTCATCTGGTTACTGAGGGCTTCACTGAGTTCCATTTCCATGCAGATCAAGAAAACTACAGATCTAACAAGCGAAAGATTAGTCCATGTGGATAAACGCCCCCGTACAGCAAGCCCTCACTTTACTGTTTCAAAAATTTCTGTTCCTAAGACAGAACATGGATATGAGGTAAGACGTTAAAGAGCATAACAAAGAAATGTTAGGCTGAAAGGAAGAAAGTAGGTTGTATGATATGGAGTATCTTTGGTGAAGGCAGTACAGGCTTGTTTTTGGTGATGTCTGTTTATCCTCACATAGACTCAGAAGCCCCTAAAGTTCAATTACTGGAACTTGCCCAGCAGAGTGAGCCTAGGCTATCAGATGGTTATCTGGCACCTCTGAGAAGACACAAATCCACACAGGCTTCTCTCTGTTTCACATTTTGTAAAAGGTTCAGTTCAGTTTTCCTTATGCGGTGAGATATTTCAGAGTGACATAAATGAGAATTGATACAAATACTAAAGACAGACATTGAGAAATCATGTGTTTGTATACTCAGGATGACAAGATGGAGGCGTGTTACCGTGTGGTGGTTGGGCTGGACTGTGGGATCACACAGGCCTAGATTAGCACCCTAACTCTGCCCCTTATTAGCTCTGTCATCAGGAACAAGCTAGTACAAGTGAAAACCTTAGTAAGTTGACAAGATCTAATAATCCTCAATATTAGTCACAACTATTCTTATTTTGAGGTTTCCCAGGTGGCGCTAGTGGTAAAGAACCCACCTGCCAATGCAGGAGACATAAGAAACATGGATTCAATCCCTTGGTTGGGAAGATCCCCTGGAGGAGGGCATGGCAACCCACTCCAGTATTCTGGCCTGCTGAATCCCATGGACAGAGGGGTCTGGTGGGCTACAGTCCATAGAGTCACAAAGAGTCAGACACGACTGAAGTGACTTAGCAGGCACCCATTCCTACGTTACACACCCGAGTCATAGAATCCAAACTTTATATGCTTCAGAGAATTATAAGGCATATTTAATACCTGCATTTGGGATAATCTCAAATATCCAGACAGCAACAGAATAAAAAGAGTAAGGAAACTCTTAAAATATTCTTCTAAGCTTTTCCACTTTCACCTCTCACACAGATTTGCGCCTGAAGCCTAAATGTTCTATTTTAAAGTAGTTCTTAGGAATTAACCAAGTAGTTAAAATTTTTATTATTTTTTAATTTCCCACTGTTGTATTTTCAAACACAGCTTCCTTGTCATGAATTAAGTGAAAATTCATGACCAAGTTTTAGAAGACCTTCAGTCTCTTTATGATAAGAGCATAAAATAAGAAGTTCTAAATACAACTCTATAAGGAAGACTTTCAAATGTATTTTAGAAGCTGGCAGGAACGACAGTGAGCTTTATAACTGGCTTATCTCTGACTTTTCATTAACTATGAAAGTGATAATGAGAACATTTAAAAGGGGACCACATAGAAAATTGACTCAGACTTACCACAAGAGTGCTAGTGGCGAAGGACTTCTGAGAGGCTACTGGGATGGCAGTTAAGTGACTATTCTCTGACTCTGTTTCTATTTAGGCATCAATAGCCGGTAGCGCTATTGCCACATTACAAAAAGAGTTGTCAGCCACACCTTCTGCTCAGAAGGTCACCAAATCTGTGAAGGCACCTACTGTAAAGCCTGCTGAGGCTAGAGTGAGAGCAGAGCCCACTCCTTCACCCCAGTTCCCCTTCGTGGACACACCAGAGACTTTTAAGAGTCAAGTTGGCATTGAGGTGAAGAAGGAGGTTGGGGTGAGCATCACTGGTGTTGCGGTCCATGAAGAGCGCTTCGAAGCACTGCGTGAGCGTGAAGCCAAGGTTGGTTGGTCACTGGAGCCCCTTCTGTCTCTCAATCCATTCCCATGGAGCAGGACCAGGCACTAGGCCAATCTGTGCTACAGAAGTGGTCAGCCAGATGTCCTGCCTTTCTCTCCATTGCTCAAACTTCATTTTATCGAGCATGGTGTGGGTCAGAACTCTTCTTCTCGAATTATTTTTATAATTTTGCATGTGCTCAGAGTTTGAGGTTTCCCCTAATTTCCTGAGCATTTTGTAACATCCTTTGTCAAAATTGTAGGTAACAGAAACAGCAAGAGTACCTGCACCTGTCGAAATCCCTGTCACTCCACCAACTTTAGTCTCGGTGAGTAAAGTTGATAGTGTTGGATCACATGCATATCTAGTCAAATAATGTTCATATATGCAAAGATCAGCTTCTCAAACTTGAAAATTCCATGAGTACGTTTGCAAGTATTTAAGACCATATACTATTAGGCAAGGAGAGGGGGAATTCTGTGTGACAGCGTCAGTCACATATCCAACAGATTCAATGAGTTTCTGTTATGTGTAAGGCATGATTGCAAGACTAGTCTAGCCCTCTTTGAAATCTGTCTTACTATCTGAAAAAATGTACATAAGTCAGCATCATAGAATATAGAAGGTGATAAGCACTTCAGTAGAGGTAGGGTGCAAAGGAAAGTTCAATTACTTCCAGTTGAGGATAGCATGGAAAACTTTGCTGAAGAGGCAGCATTCACTGCTGAGGCTTCAAGCTTTGTTAGCGTTTGAATATGTGCAAACAACAGAGGGTATAGGGATGCCCTATTATATGACATCAGTACAGTTCCACCTTAGGAAGCTGGAAACACCTTACATTTATTTCAAATTGGGAGCATTCCAGTTTCCAAGGGAGTTTCTTTACTGATAGTCCCAGAGTCTTGATCTTAAGAAAGCATTTTATGACAATTGGAATAAACGAGGTCAAACCCCTACATTTGGTACAACATATAGAGATGATTCAGGAATCTGCACACGTATCAATACTTCCTGTTTCTTCTTTCTTTAGGGCTTAAAGAACGTGACTGTGATTGAAGGTGAATCTGTCACCTTAGAGTGCCACATCTCTGGATACCCATCCCCCAAAGTGACATGGTACAGAGAAGACTACCAGATAGAAAGTTCCATTGATTTCCAGATAACCTTCCAGAGTGGAATTGCTCGCCTTATGATTCGTGAAGCCTTTGCAGAAGACAGCGGGCGGTTCACTTGCACTGCTGTGAACGAGGCTGGGACCGTCAGCACATCCTGCTATCTAGCTGTGCAAGGTCAGTGGTCACACCCCCACTGGCCTTCCACACACTTCTCACTGCCACCTGACATTCTTTCCACATACCTGGTAACGGAGTCCCCTTTTAGGACTGAGGGGTTAAGTATGGGGTCAGCTTACCTGTCATGCTAAGGAGAGGTCAGTAGTGAGGCAAACTAGATACCTGACTTTAACAAGAGCAACTTCTGTCTTCTTCTAGTGTCAGAAGAATTTGAAAAGGAAACCACAGCTGTGGCTGAGAAAATCACCACAGAAGAGAAACGGTAACACCTTCTTTTGCTCATGATTTTTCATTGTAGTATACAGTCTTGCTTGGTTAGTCCCTTCCATATTGGCAAATGGCAGTCCAGAAGCTAATGTGAAGGGCGTTCTCTTTCCAGCTTCGTCGAATCAAGGGATGTGGTAATGACTGATACTAGCTTCACAGAGGAACCAGCAGGGCCGGGAGAACCTGCCGCTCCTTTCTTTATTACAAAACCAGTGGTCCAGAAACTGGTGGAAGGTGGGAGCATTGTATTTGAATGCCAGGTTGGCGGCAACCCGAAGCCCCATGTCTACTGGAAGAAGTCTGGTGTTCCTCTAACCACAGGATACAGGTATTTTCATGGTTGAATGGTAGAGTTTTCTGTGATCTGTCTGAGAGGTCTATGAAGCCAAGAGAGAATAGAATATACTTACCCCACCCTCAGAGGTAGGGTCTTTTGTTATAGAGCCTTCATAGCGTGCTTTGAGGTCTTTCTGTGTTTTCCTACAAAGTCTTACTGAGAAACAGAGGTATGTGACAAAAGTGGATAGAAGATATATATTTTATATTCTGGTTTGATTCACTTTTAGTGCTGGTGAATAGAGAAAATGATGTAGAGTTTTTACACACATAGAATATATTTTTCTACCAAGGATCTGAAACAACTTTCAATAAAAAGGCATAATAATTAAGTCACTGAAAGATAAAAGAAAAAGGGTAATTTTTGAAGAAAGCTGGTTATATGTGAAAATCTATGCTAATAAATTTGCAATTGAATATAAAATTCAGCTTTGAATTTCCTGCAACTTAATCTAAAAATGTATCCATCATATCTTAAGAAGAAGAAATGTAGTGTACCAAAGACTTAATATCGAAATATTTAAAGGAATTTATTGTTTTCATTATTCATTTGCTCTTCACATAAAACAGGGAACAAAATAATGAGCAAAGAGAAGTATCTTAGTATTTAAATGACCTCATCATTTGCTAACATAAACACTGAAGTCTCTTATTTCCATACGGTTGATTCTAGTAGTATTATAGTCTATTATTTATTTTGAAGAATACATGACTGTTATTTAAAATGAAAATTTTAACTTGTTTGGCCTTCATTACTCATGTCCATGCATTTCCCTCAATTTTTAGCAATCTTATATTCTATGGTGGAGCTTAGTCCCATGTTTAGGATCATTGAATTTTATACCACAGATCCACATAAGGCTTATTTTACTCACATAAGGGTTATTTATGAACTCTTTTGTTTGTTCATTTCCATAAAGATACAAAGTGAGTTACAACAAACAAACTGGTGAGTGCAGACTGGTGATTTCAATGACTTTTGCCGATGATGCTGGAGAATACACTATTGTTATTCGTAATAAGCATGGAGAAACTTCTGCATCTGCCTCCTTGCTTGAAGAAGGTGAGTGCAACTTTAAGTAATTCCATGTGCATTATAAGAATGGAAATGCAGGGGGGAAACAGTGCTGTGTGATTATCAGAAGTCCGCCTGCAGCATTCCGGTTTTGATACTGGCTCTGTCCACATTCGCCCTCCTCTTGGCCTCAGCTGTATAGGAAATGTTTTAGACCACATGGCCTCAAAAACCGTACCAGTACTAAACTTCAAAGGTTCTGACGATAGTTTATTTTTGGTGGATTCATTTCTAAGCGTATAATGACTGAAAATGCAGGAGGAACTTCCCCAGCAGTTCAGTGGTTAAGACTCTGCCTTCCAATGCAGGGGGTGTAGGGTCAATCCCTAGTCAGGGAACTAAGATCCCACATGCCATGTGGTTTGGCCAAAACAATTACATTAAATTAAAAAATGAAAATGCAGGGATTCTAAATCCTGTGGCCCTCTAGACCCAGACAGATATTAGTGAGTGTGATGAAGACAGTGGAGAAATTGGAGAGTATATGCCCTGCCTCAGGGGGTCAGTAGCTCCACCTCCAGTATGTTATTGCCAGGCACACACGTACCAGGCTCAGTGTTGCTAGAGTTTCCAATGTTTTTTTTAAAAGCTAGAAATCAGGATTTTCAATATTCATAAGTAATTTTAAAAAATGCAATAGCATTTAAGTTAAACAAAATGTACCTTTGGTCTCCATTATCTTTGCCAAGATGTTCACATTTATAGTGGACCATCCTAAATTCTGTACAAAACCCCTTAGGATTAGGATGTTATCCCCATTTCGCAGATGAAGCACTCAAGACCAAAGAGGATAAATGAATTGCCAGAAGTCACACGACAAATTAGGAAGACCTCTAGGGTTGATCCCAAAGGACTGACTGCTAATATAAAATTTTTTCTATAATGGTATTGGCTGCTTTGACTTATTTTTTTTTTTTTTTTAATTTTATTTTTTAATTTTTTTTTTATCACAACCATAGTGTATCTTTTTTTTTTTTTTTTACATGTATTCCCCATCCCGGTCCTCCCTCCCACCTCCCTCTCCACCCAATCCCTCTGGGTCTTCCCAGTGCACCAGGCCCAAGCACTTGTCTCGTGCACCCAACCTGGGCTGGTGAACTGTTTCACCCTAGATAATATACGTGTTTCAATGCTGTTCTCTTGAAACATCCCACCCTCGCCTTCTCCCAGAGTCCACAAGTCTGTTCTATACATAGGAGTCTCTTTTTCTGTTTTGCACATAGGGTTATCGTTACCATCTTTCTAAATTCCATATATATGTGTTAGTATACTGTAATGGTCTTTATCTTTCTGGCTTACTTCGCTCTGTATAATGGGCTCCAGTTTCATCCATCTCATTAGAACTGATTCAAATGCATTCTTTTTAATGGCTGAGTAATATTCCATGGTGTATATGTACCACAGCTTCCTCATCCATTCATCTGCTGATGGGCATCTAGGTTGCTTCCATGTCCTGGCTATTATAAACAGTGCTGCGATGAACATTGGGGTACACGTGTCTCTTTCAGATCTGGTTTCCTCGGTGTGTATGCCCAGAAGTGGGATTGCTGGGTCATATGGCAGTTCTATTTCCAGCTTTTTAAGAAATCTCCACACTGTTTTCCATAGTGGCTGTACTAATTTGCATTCCCACCAACAGTGTAAGAGGGTTCCCTTTTCTCCACACCCTCTCCAGCATTTATTGCTTGTAGACTTTTGGATAGCAGCCATCCTGACTGGTGTGTAATGGTACCTCATTGTGGTTTTGATTTGCATTTCTCTGATAATGAGTGATGCTTTGACTTATTAATGTAAGTTTGGGTTTGAAATTCAATCTACTTAGTCTATCCTGAGCACTTTGATAGTAAAATTTGGAAAATCTGGCTTCTGTTTATCAACTTTCCATAGGGTAGGACTTGCTTGAATGAACAGTGGCATGAAGGCTTGTTCATAAGAACATTAAAAATTAACTCATGTTCTTAACCCCTAGCTGATTATGAGTCACTGATGAAATCCCAGCAAGAAATGCTTTACCAAACACAAGTGACTGCATTTGTGCAAGAACCTAAAGTTGGAGAAATAGCACCTGGATATGTATACTCTGAGTATGAAAAAGAGTATGAAAAAGAACAAGCCTTAATTAGGAAGAAAATGGCCAAAGATACTGTAATGGTCAGAACTTTTGTGGAAGACCAGGTAGGTATAATAATGACCAAGTAAATCACTTCACACATTATTCTTTCCTCCTGCAATACCCCTGTTTTTGTTTGATATTTTCATTTTCGAGTGATGGGCCAGGGTTATACTACTATAAGCAGGTCCAGGTTCGCTGCTGATGAGCTTCCTTAATCTTCATAATATTAATATGATGCACATATGACTTTGGAAATAAAGATTACATGTTAAGTAGGAAAAACAATTACTAAAACAACAAAGTTCATTACTGCCGACATTTTTTTCATCAGTAGGATAGACATCACATGCATAACCCATACTCTTAGAATTGTCCAAGACACCACAGCATGAACTTCCAAAGATGACTGAAAGGCAGATTAAAAAATAATGACTCATCTCATTCTCAGTGAAAAACAAATAAAAAAGCAAAAATAAAACACTTCTAGATGTTTCTTCCTGTTAAAAATTTTAATCAAACCTTATTTCTGAAAACAAATACTCTTAAAGAATTTCTATCAGTCAGCAGATATCTTCTTAACAGACTGTCATCTTTACTACATAGGAATTCCACATTTCTTCCTTTGAAGAGAGACTAATTAAAGAAATTGAATACAGAATAATAAAGACTACATTAGAAGAACTTCTTGAAGAAGATGGAGAAGAAAAGATGGCAGTTGACATTTCTGAATCTGAAGCTATTGAAGCAGGATTTGATTTAAGAGTCAAGAATTACAGAATTCTTGAAGGGATGGGTGTTACATTTCATTGCAAGATGTCTGGGTATCCATTACCCAAGGTAAAATATAAGCATTGATCATACCTCCATACTACAATAAAGACACACATAGGTTGTAGTGTAACTCCTTTATGTAAATTTTATTGACATGTGCATGATGTTATTTGCAGATTGCATGGTATAAAGATGGCAAGCGCATCAAACATGGAGAGAGATACCATATGGAATTTCTACAAGATGGCAGAGCTAGTCTGCGAATACCTGTTGTTCTTCCAGAAGATGAAGGCATCTATACTGCATTTGCCAGCAATATGAAAGGAAATGCAATTTGCTCAGGGAAATTGTATGTGGAGCCTGCTGCACCTCTTAGTGCTCCAACTTACATACCCACACCAGAGCCAGTGAGCAGAATCAGGTGAGGCTCATAATAATTCACGTTGGTTACTATTTAAATTGTTTAAAACACCAAATATCTCAGTAGCAAATTGCTGTCATGTAGTGGGGGGTATGAAGGCTGAAATAACCCAGAAGTCCACCATTCTCTGTACTGGCAATTGCCCAGTTTTTATTTCTTACCCCTGTGTAGAATGAGCAAAGCATCTTTCATCACATATCATATTATCTGTTTTGCCAGTGCCATAGCTAATATAATGAAGGCTATAAAGAGTTGTTTAACGTCTGATTTTACATATGTTATCCCTAGTTTATGAGGAAAGCATGGCAACTCGTCCATGGGGTAGCACAGAGTCAGACACGACTGAAGCGACTTAGCATGCAAGCATGCATGGCAACCCACTCCAGCATTCTTGCCTGGAGACCATGGACAGAGGAGCCTGGTGGACTAGAGTCCATAGGGTCGCGCAGAGTCGGGCACAACTGAAGCAACTTAACACAAGCACACATCACTAATTTATACAACAACCATGCAATGGAGGGATTATTGTTGCTATTTTGGGAGTGAGAACACTAAGTTTCCCTGACCCTGTGAAAATTGCCTTAGTTCACCCAGCCTGTGTGGTGCTGCCAGCACTTGAAATCCAATCAAAGCCAATCTGGCTACAATGTATAAGTAGAGTTTGGGACTTCTTTCAAATATCTTTTGTTTGTTTTTCCTCATCTGGGATATGTAAGTTATTTTTCTTTTTCCATATTTCTGTCAGTGGTATTTAGCCAACCAACATTTATTGAAATATTTTGGTAGTTGAACCAAAAAGGTTCAGTAACTCATTAAACCCAGTTGGTGAGGGAGAGACAGTATTAAGAACCAGTCTAAGATTTTGAGGATGGGTTCCTGGCTGTGTTGAATAATTCCTGACTGGGATTGATGGTATATGAACAATATAGTTTTGGGAGCAATAATAATGTATTCCATTTTGGATCCCAATGAGTCTGAGGTACCTTTTAATATACAAAGTAAATTCTAAAATAATGTTAAGAAAGAGATTTATTGTGGTGAGTTTTCTCTATGCCTCATAAAAATATTCTTTTTCGCATCTTGTTTTTCAGATCCATCTCTCCACGTTCAGTGAGCAGATCTCCGATACGCATGTCCCCTGCACGCATGTCCCCTGCACGCATGTCCCCTGCACGGATGTCCCCTGCACGGATGTCCCCTGGACGCAGGCTGGAGGAAACAGATGAGTCACAACTCGAGAGACTGTATAAGCCAGTCTTTGTGTTGAAACCTACTTCTTTCAAGTGTGTAGAAGGACAGACTGCCAGATTTGACTTAAAGGTTGTGGGTCGACCCATGCCCGAGACCTTCTGGTTTCATGACGGTAAGTGTAAGTTTTCGTTAACAAATTATTAAACACAAAAATAAACTTATCTGTGTGTCTAACAACTTTTAAAAACAACTATTTTAACGTGATTTCTTTTTTGCTTATGTTTCTGATAGGCCAGCAAATTGTCAATGACTATACCCATAAAGTAGTCGTTAAAGAAGATGGTACCCAATCACTGCTTATTGTCCCTGCAACACCCAGTGATTCTGGGGAATGGACGGTGGTTGCCCAAAACAGGGCAGGGAAATCTTCAATTTCAGTGATTTTAACTGTGGAAGGTATTTGCTCTGAAGACTCAAAATAAATAACCTTATCACTTGGGTTTTAAACAGGTAGTTCAGCCCTACTCACTCAGAATCACAACCTTTCTCTTTCAGCTGTGGAACATCAGGTAAAACCAGTGTTTGTGGAAAAACTGAGGAATCTCAACATAAAGGAAGGTTCCCGACTTGAAATGAAAGTTAGAGCTACGGGCAACCCCAATCCTGACATTGTATGGTTGAAAAACAGTGAAATCATTGTACCTCATAAATATCCCAAAATCAGGTAAGTTGGCTTGAAAAATAATAAAACTAAACTCATTACACAGATCCAATACTCAAGGAAGTAACAACTACTTCTGTATTGATGATTTATTTTCCACTTTTTATAGAATTGAAGGGACCAAGGGAGAAGCTGCCCTTAAAATCGATTCCACTGTCAGCCAAGACTCTGCCTGGTACACTGCAACCGCTATTAATAAGGCTGGCCGAGACACTACACGATGCAAAGTAAATGTTGAAGTTGAGTTTGCAGAGCCTGAGCCAGAGAGGAGATTAATCATCCCACGAGGGACGTATAGAGCAAAGGAGATTGCAGCCCCAGAACTGGAGCCTCTCCATTTGCGATATGGCCAAGAGCAGTGGGAAGAGGGTGACCTCTATGACAAAGAAAAGCAACAGAAACCATTTTTCAAGAAAAAACTGACTTCCTTAAGACTCAAGCGCTTTGGGCCTGCCCACTTTGAATGCAGGCTGACACCAATCGGCGACCCAACGATGGTGGTGGAATGGCTCCACGATGGAAAGCCACTGGAAGCAGCCAACAGGCTGCGCATGATCAATGAATTTGGGTATTGTAGCCTTGATTACGCAGTGGCATATTCCAGAGACAGTGGTGTCATTACTTGCAGAGCTACTAACAAATATGGAACAGACCACACATCTGCTACCCTTATTGTCAAAGATGAGAAGAGTCTTGTGGAGGAATCCCAATTGCCTGAGGGGAGGAAAGGCTTACAGAGAATTGAAGAATTAGAGCGCATGGCTCATGAAGGTGCCCTTACTAGTGTGACAACCGATCAAAAGGAGAAGCAAAAGCCAGACATTGTCTTGTTCCCAGAGCCAGTAAGAGTACTGGAAGGGGAGACCGCCAGATTCCGTTGCCGGGTAACAGGCTACCCTCAGCCCAAAGTCAACTGGTACCTTAATGGGCAGCTCATCCGCAAAAGCAAACGGTTCAGAGTCCGCTATGACGGCATTCATTATCTGGACATCGTGGACTGCAAGTCTTATGATACAGGTGAAGTCAAGGTCACCGCAGAAAACCCTGAAGGTGTGATAGAGCATAAAGTAAAGCTTGAGATCCAACAGAGGGAAGATTTTAGGTCTGTCCTTAGGCGAGCCCCTGAGCCAAAGCCCGAGTTTCACATCCACGAACCTGGGAAGCTTCAGTTTGAAGTACAAAAAGTAGACAGGCCTGTTGACACCACTGAAACCAAGGAAATTGTGAGGCTGAAGAGAGCTGAAAGGATCACCCATGAAAAAGTGTCTGAAGAATCAGAAGAGCTGCGTAGCAAGTTCAAGCGCAGAACTGAGGAAGGCTACTATGAGGCCATCACAGCTGTGGAGCTCAAGTCTCGTAAGAAGGACGAATCCTACGAAGAGCTTCTCAGGAAGACAAAAGACGAACTTCTCCACTGGACCAAGGAGCTGACCGAAGAGGAGAAGAAAGCCCTTGCTGAAGAAGGCAAAATCACCATTCCAACTTTTAAACCTGACAAAATTGAGTTAAGTCCTAGTATGGAGGCCCCCAAAATATTCGAAAGAATCCAAAGCCAGACAGTGGGCCAGGGATCTGATGCACACTTCCGGGTCAGAGTGGTGGGAAAACCTGATCCTGAATGTGAGTGGTACAAAAATGGTGTGAAGATTGAGCGCTCTGACCGAATCTACTGGTATTGGCCCGAAGACAACGTTTGTGAGCTGGTCATAAGAGATGTGACGGCTGAGGACTCTGCCAGCATCATGGTGAAAGCCATCAATATTGCTGGGGAAACCTCAAGCCACGCATTCTTACTCGTCCAGGGTAATTTGAATTTCTTTCATTTGATGGATCTATTTTTATTTTTCTGTGAATATCCAATAGTGTATTGTCTTAATTTTCTTTTCCATTATCCAAATTGTGTATTCAACTTAATGTACTTTATCCCCCCTTTTTTCTCTTGTAGCCAAGCAATTGATCACTTTTACACAGGAATTACAAGATGTTGTTGCTAAGGAAAAAGACACCATGGCAACCTTTGAATGTGAAACCTCAGAGCCATTTGTCAAAGTGAAATGGTATAAAGATGGTGTGGAAATTCACACAGGAGATAAATATAGGATGCACTCTGACAGGAAAGTTCACTTCCTGTCCGTGCTGACGATCGACGCATCTGATGCTGAAGACTATAGCTGTGTACTTGTGGAAGACGAAAACGTGAAAACAACAGCTAAACTTATTGTCGAAGGTAATAAATTATGATTTTGTTGTTTACGCAAGTTTTCAAGTTACTTTTATTATGTGATAAAATTAGCTATGCAATTTTCACCTCCTAAAAAGAATTACCTATGAATTAAATGTAAGCTTCATACCAAGAATCATGACTGTATAATACTAATTAAGAATATTGACAATTGGGATGTTTTTAAAGCGAGGTTATTTTGATGTCTTGTTTTTAAAATTGTTTTGAATTATAATTCCATGCTTTATTTAAAATAATTTAAAAATTAAAATAACCCCTTTTATTGACAATTTATTTCTCAGTCCAAAAGTTAGATATTAAGAATATTCCTGATAGGATGGGGGAGATAAGAGATTTACAGGGAATTTAATTTTTCATGTAAGTCTAGATACATAACTCTCCAGAGAAATTAACTTCTCCTCATCTCATAATTCAGGTGCAGTTGTTGAGTTTGTGAAAGAACTTCAGGACATAGAGGTTCCAGAATCATTTTCAGGGGAGTTAGAGTGCATTATAACCCCGGAAAATATAGAAGGCAAATGGTATCATAAGGGTGTGGAGCTTAAATCCAATGGCAAGTACACAATTACATCCCGCCGTGGCCGTCAGAACCTCACAGTCAAGGATGTGACCAAAGAGGACCAGGGAGAATACAGCTTTGTTGTCGATGGGAAAAAGACAACCTGTAGACTAAAGATGAAACGTAAGCCCCCTCCTCCTTTTCAGCCCATAGCAAGCATCACTGTGATTTATTGATAATAAATGGTCATAACGTTCTTTTCTCTCCCTGTATTTTCACAGCCCGCCCCATCGCTATCCTGCAAGGACTCAGTGATCAAAAAGTCTGTGAGGGTGACATTGTTCAGCTTGAAGTTAAAGTCTCCTTAGAGAATGTGGAAGGTGTCTGGATGAAAGACGGCGAAGAAGTGCAGCCAGGCGACAGGGTTCACATTGTGATAGACAAGCAGTCACACATGCTGCTTATTGAAGACATGACTAAGGAGGATGCTGGCCATTACTCCTTCACCATTCCTTCCCTCGGACTGTCAACCCGTGGGCGCGTCTCTGTCTACAGTGAGTGCGACTTAATACAGTCTTATATCTATGCTGTCAAGTGAGCATGTATTTCCAGCAAAAATTTGTATTCACAAATCTTGTGTGTGTGTGGTTTTGCAGGTGTTGATGTGATAACGCCTTTAAAAGATGTTAATGTGCTTGAAGGCACCAAGGCTGTGCTCGAATGTAAGGTCTCAGTCCCTGATGTGACTTCTGTTAAATGGTACTTAAATGACGAACAGATCAAGCCTGATGATCGCGTGCATGCCATTGTTAAAGGCACTAAGCAGCGACTTGTGATTAACCGGACCCATGCTTCAGATGAAGGACCTTACAAGCTGGTGGTTGGCAGAGTTGAAACCAGCTGTGATCTCTCTGTAGAAAGTAAGAATTCTTCCATCTCACTTAATACTGTCTTAAGCATTCTATTTTTCCCAGTGTAATAGTAACCAAATGATGATTATATTTTTCCCCCAGAAATTAAAATCATCAGAGGTCTTCGTGACCTGACCTGTACAGAGACCCAAAATGTGGTCTTGGAAGTTGAACTGTCCCACTCAGGAATTGATGTCTTGTGGAATTTTAAGGACAAGGAAATCAAACCCAGTTCTAAATATAAAATTGAAGCTCATGGAAAAATATATAAGTTGACAGTTCTAAATATGATGAAAGATGATGAAGGCGAATATACATTTTATGCTGGAGAAAATAGGACATCTGGAAAACTTACCGTGGCAGGTTAATATATTTATAAATTAACATTTATAAATTATAAGTTCTTACATGGAGCAATTGTTTTAACTTAAGAAATCATTGCCCGTTTCCTTCCTTATTGCCTGCAGTTTCCTGCGTGTGTTGTTGTCAACCAGTAATACCTTCAACACTGTTCCTATCAGCCTAAATTCAAAATATTCTTCCAGGAAGTCATAACTCAAATGCCATCTCCTCTGTAAAACCTTCCTTGATCTTCTCATTTGTAGATCTTACTCCTCCAACCACAGTATCACTCTGTGTTTCTTTCATGACCCATACTCATATACTTGTTTTATTCTCCATTTCTTCTTCCCACACTTGGGAAGATACCTCCAAAGTCTGGAATTGCTTCTTTCTCATCTTCATATAATCCAATACGTTGTACATGATACATTGATGAGTAAATGTTTTCTTTGTTGGATCAAAGAAAACTTTTAAACTTTCCTACTGTAAAGATGTATTCATTTTTTTATTGCCATGTTTCATTCATTTTTGATCCCTTCACACTATTACTGGGCCCAATGAATATTTTAAAAATATACCTCAGTGGATGTGTCTATGTGTCTTTTTCCTATAACATGAAGTAAACCATTCTCAGCAGAAGTCACTTGCTTTAAAATAAGGAATCAAAGTCTAAACCAGTTGTGAAGAAAAAACTAGAAGTCATCACTGATTTGGTGCATTACAATTTAGGTTTTGAGGAGTTGGAATATGACATTGAGATTAAATTATACAGTCTGTGGCATCTGGTATATAAGCAAGTCAACTGGGAATAATGTGTCTTCTTTGGTATAAAAATTTTATGGTTTATACTTTATCACATTATATGATTTCTTCAGAGATTTGACCATGAAAACTCTGAAACAAAATTTCAGATTCTGCACTTTGATACATTTAATATAAATTACGTGTTTTTAAATGTGTGAAAGCAAGAAAAAACTCTGAGCCTGTATGTGATCTCACCCAACATTTTTAACGTAACTGCCACAGGCCAGATGCTGCTAGGAACTCAGGATACAGAAATGAATAAGGCATGATATTTCTTTTGAGGAGTTCACAATGCAGAAAGGGACAGATACATTAGCAACTAAGTTGCTGAAGGAGTAATTATTTCTGCCAGCAACTGATGGCATTGGAGGCGATGGAACTTCATGGAAGAGATGACAGTGACTTTCAGTATATGGGAGTCCCCAGTCTTCTAGAGACGTTGATGACTATAATTTTGTTGAGCAGATTTTTTTTCCAGTCAAATATTAGACATATTGTAAGGAAATCATCCTTAGGAGACTAAACAGAATGCTTTTGAAGAATAATCTGAGTTACAGGCCATCCATGAAGTATGCTTCCCGTTGAAGTTCTCAGAATTCTGTATAAGTTAACAGTTGCTTTTCCATTTGCAAACCCTTCCTGATTCTAGTAGTTTCCCTGGGTACATACTTAGAATACATACTTACTTAGAATGAGAGGTTTCTATGATATCTTCTCAGTGTGGGTAAAAATAATTTTATTAGAAATTTTCATGATGTGCAAAATTATGTTTTAAAATGTGTTATTTAATTGTGCAAAGATCTCTTTATTGTTAAAATATTTTTTAAAGACTCACACTTGTATTTCTCTTGTTCCAAAGGCGGTGCCATCTCTAAGCCACTCACAGATCAGACGGTAGCTGAGTCCCAGGAAGCTGTGTTTGAGTGTGAAGTTGCCAACCCAGATTCTGAAGGCGAATGGTTGAAGGATGGCAAACACCTACCGCTGAGTAAAACTATCAGAAGTGAATCTGACGGCCGCAAAAGAAGACTTATCATTGCTGCCACCAAACTAGATGACATTGGAGAATACACCTACAAGGTGGCCACTTCCAAAACATCTGCCAAACTCAAAGTTGAAGGTCAGTCATATAACAACAGAGTGATCCATTTCAAATCATATTGTATTTTTGACAGTTATCCTAAAAGTCAAATAGTTTAATCATTTTGGGTGCCATAAATCCTCATTTCATAAAATCATTATGAACTCTTGAACTTTCTGAGCCATATACCACAGGTGCAAAATTGCTTCAGAGTTTATGTGAAGAACCATGTCTTAGGTTCCAGCTCTATGAAACAGCAAATTAGGTGCTGTTATTCTCTAGTCTTCTTTCATCCTTCGCCAGTCCGTTGATTAAGCTCTTGGTATACAGCTAAGTGAAGTTGCTCAGTCATGTCCTCCTCTTTGTGACTGCATGGACTGTAGCCTGCCAGGCTTCTCCGTCCATGGGATTTTCCAGGCAGGAATACTGGAGTGGGTTACCATTTCCTTCTTCAGGGGGCGTTCCCAACCCAGGGGTTGAACCCAGGTCTCCCACACTGCAGGCAGACTCTTTACCATCAAGCCACCAGAAAAGCCCAGTATAGAGCTCTACAAACTTCATCTCATTCAAGTATAGAAAAATCGTTGTGTGATGTACTTTTCAAGCTGGGTCCTGGGTTTTCCAGAGTAGTCACAAAGTGTCTTTTAAAAACTCCAGAGATGCTGCATAACTACAAAAATGGTTGATAACCATTCATTTGCAAGATGACCAGGAAACAGCATTATTCAGGAATTCTCTTACTTGATGGTATCATCTTTATTGATGCCAAAACCAATCATAAATTTATTGATACTGAAATTTATTGATACTTTATTGATGCCAAAACCAATCATAAATTTGTCCTCAGCTGTCAAAATTAAGAAGACTCTGAAGAACCTCACAGTGACAGAGACCCAGGATGCTGTTTTCACGGTGGAGCTCACACACCCTAACGTAAAAGGCGTCCAGTGGATCAGAAACGGGGTTGTGCTGGAATCCAATGACAAGTACACTATCTCCGTCAAAGGAACAGTTTACTCTCTGAGAATTAAAAACTGTGCCGTGGTGGACGAATCTGTTTATGGCTTCAAGCTTGGAAAGCTGGGAGCCAGTGCCAGACTGCACGTTGAGAGTAAGTTGACTTAGGAACAGTTTACAAGTCACCTCATGGTTGCCATGTAGTGAAGCGTATCACTGAATGGCTTCATCTTTCCCCATCAGCCGTCAAGATCATTAAGAAACCAAAGGATGTGACTGCCTTGGAAAATGCCACTGTTTCCTTTGAAGTCAGCGTTTCCCATGACACAGTGCCAGTAAAATGGTTCCACAAGAATGTGGAGATTAAGCCGAGTGACAAGCACAGGCTCGTCTCGGAAAGGAAGGTCCACAAGCTGATGCTGCAGCATATTTCCCCCTCGGATGCTGGGGAGTACACAGCTGTGGTGGGGCAGCTGGAATGCAAGGCGAAACTATTCGTGGAGAGTAAGTATGAGTCAGCCCTGGTGGCATTGCTAGGTGGTCTTATTTGTTTGCTTCATCTTAAAAATATATATATACAATATATATATATATATATATACACACACTAACCAGAGTGCTCTCTGATTTTCCCCAAGCATTACATATTACAAAAACCATGAAAAACATCGAGGTGCCCGAGACCAAAACTGCCTCTTTTGAGTGTGAGGTCTCCCACTTCAATGTACCTTCCATGTGGCTGAAGAATGGCGTGGAGATTGAGATGAGTGAAAAGTTCAAGATTGTGGTGCAGGGAAAACTCCACCAGCTAGTCATCATGAACACCAGCACGGAGGACTCAGCAGAATACACGTTTGTCTGTGGCAATGACCAAGTCAGCGCCACCCTCAAAGTGACCCGTAAGTAGATACAAATATATAGATAGAATCCCCAGTAGACTCATCACCCCATAGCCTACACTTTTTCTTCGTCATCTACTGTGTTCACACTAAGTTAGGTATCTGGATAAAATTTTTGTTAGAATAGCATTCAAAGACTATCTATAAAGATGCTGCAGTGTCTATCGCTTGCTTTTTCTGTTCCCCTGTGACTTGGCATAATCCTGTAGAGCGGTACCTGTCTGAACTGTGATCACTTAAACAGACGTATTAGAAAGATTCCTAGTTTTTGTTCTGTGCCTGTTCTAACCCATGTCACACTGACACGAAATCTCCTTTTGCAGCCATCATGATTACATCCATGCTGAAGGACATCAATGCAGAAGAAAAAGACACCATTACCTTTGAGGTGACAGTGAACTATGAAGGCATCTCTTACAAATGGTTAAAGAATGGTGTGGAAATCAAATCAACTGACAGGTGCCAGATGAGAACCAAAAAGCTCACCCACTCACTGAACATCAGGAATGTCCACTTTGGGGATGCCGCTGAGTACACCTTCGTGGCTGGAAAAGCTACCTCAACAGCCACTCTTTATGTGGAAGGTATGGTTTCATAAATGTCATGTCCATAAAAAGAAATGTCAAACACACTACATAAAATGTTAGTGCATCAGCTAATGAATGAATAAAGTATATCTATGCAATGAAATATTACTTAGTAATAATAAGGAAATACTGATAAATATTACAACATGGATGAACCTTAACCTTATACCAAGTGAAAGAAGCTAGTTACAAAGAATCACATATTACATGAATCCAGTTACAGGAAAAGTTCAGAACACGCAAATCAATAGAGACATAGGTTTGTGTCTAAGTCTCCAGAAAGAACAGTGCACGGGGTCTGGAAGGTTATGGCTAAGGGATACGTGGTTTCTTCTGGGGATAATGAGAATGCCTTGAAATTGATTATGGTGATGGCTCTACAATTCTAAATATACTGGAGACCCCTGATGTTGTATGCTTTCAGTGGGTGAATTGTATAGTATGTAATCCTACCTTGGCAAAGCTGTTCAAAAGGTTAATTCTTTTACATGCTCTTCTCCAGCTCGTCATATAGAATTTAGGAAACACATTAAGGACATTAAGGTTCTTGAGAAGAAGCGAGCCATGTTTGAATGTGAAGTTTCTGAACCTGACATCACCGTGCAGTGGATGAAGGATGGCCAGGAGCTGCAGCTAGTGGACAGGTCCGTCGGTGTGTTGTGCCACCTCCCAGGGATTCCCAGTTTACTTTGAGTCATCATATATTAAACCCCAATTTCCATTTCCTCCACAGAATAAAGATACAGAAGGAGAAGTACGTCCACCGCCTGCTGATCCCATCCACGCGGATGTCCGACGCCGGAAAGTATACAGTGGTGGCTGGGGGCAGCATGTCTAGCGCCAACCTCTTTGTCGAGGGCAGAGATGTCCGCATCCGGAGCATTAAAAGGGAGGTGCAGGTAATTGTCCACGTGCTGAGTTTTTAGAGGTATCATCAATAGCACCTAATCTATCATTTTGTCACTTAATTTTTTGACTTTAAAATTTTCCAACCAATGTCTTCTAAAGAAATGAAATCAGCTTATCCCTACTGACTTAACGCTCCTTTACTGATAGCAGCTCAGTCAGTTTCCTCTCACTTAGGGGATGAGTGTGTCCTTCGCAGCTGTCTAAATATTTTAATGAAAGCAGCTGTAGAAACTTCTCTGTCTAATAAGTGGCCATTTGCCAAGCAGCACCAACTCGAAAAGAATTGAAATTTAAATTGTGGTGTTTGCACGGCAACTGGAATTTAGGGAATTCAGAACAAGGTGGCTGTTTCTAGAAGCCTTCTACTGTGGAAAGGCGGCTGTTTAGGGACTTGGCTGGGAACACACCCTCTGAGCCAAGCTCGATTCCTAGCAGGGATGCTGAGAAAATACCTTCGCTCTCGACTGCAGGCGTAGAGCTTGTCCTCAGGGGTGCCAGTCTTCCAACATGGTATAATGTGGGTAATATGTGAGGAAAAGCAGTACTTGAGTTCACATTTACGATATTGCTCATCCACTGAGAGCCAGGCATCACAGGCCTTGGTCCACAGTGAAAAAGCCTTCAGTGAAGACTCAGATGACCTAGATATGTCCTCCCTCCTCTGTTGTCTGATTCTGAGCCTTTATTTCCTCACTTTAAAAAATGAAGATAATAGTTCCTGCCTAAGTCACAAGGTTATTGTTTACATCATATGAAATAAAATTGAGTAGTAACTGAAAAGGTCTGTGTCAGTGATAACAGCCCTCGAATGCAAAGTGTCGTTATTTCTGATATGATAAACTAAGAGGTGAACATTTAAGGATGAAATCATTGTCTCCATGAAGGCATAAGCATAATTCTTTGCCGAAGAAGTGTGGGCTCCCATTTATCCAAGGACAGGGAGGGAAAATTGAGAGGGTGCTATAACAACTCAACTTCCCAAATCATCCTGTGTGGGTTTGGCATGCTCTTCAAACGAGCTGGCTCAGAGACAGGTTAAAACCAAAAGGAAACCAGGATTTCAGTGTTCTTTTTCTGTTGCTCCATCCAAAGGTTATTGAGAAACAACGTGCTGTTGTTGAGTTTGAGGTCAATGAAGATGATGTTGATGCCCACTGGTATAAAGATGGCATTGAAATCAATTTCCAAGTTCAGGAACGACACCAGTATGTGGTGGAGAGAAGAATCCACCGGATGTTTATCTCTGAGACCAGGCACAGTGATGCCGGTGAATACACCTTCGTAGCAGGAAGGAACAGGAGTTCTGTTACTCTCTATGTCAATGGTAGGTAGAGATGTTAATATGTCTGTTCATCCATCTGTAGTAATCCCCCCACTTCAATTTACTAAATTTCTGGTAGTTCCTGGGCAATTTCTCAAGAACCCATGGTGCTCATATGTTTGGGGCTTCATGTATTTTCATGTTATACCTGAGGAAAAGGGATGGCAGCTTTAAAAAGGACTAAAATGTCATTTCTAGAAAGCACCTAATGGCTAGATTCTTATTCAGTCAGTCAACACTATCAAACTTTCTCTGTGTGTCAATTATACTAGACCCCAAGTGGGTGTCTAGGTAGAGCAATCAGGGTTCTGGTTCGCTGCCCTTGGCCCTAACTGCCAGAGCACTTGTAGCACCACCAAGCAGTGGGGCATTTCCACCTCTAGTAGGGCCTGGGAGGATCGAGAGAGCCACAGGTGAGTTTAGAGGGGAATTTCACATGCTGCCAAATCAGAGGAGCACCATTAAACCACCGACTTTTCTTATGAGGAACCTTTGAGCTGAATGAGGCTGGTCTAGTTCTGGGGCTAGCCTCCATACACAGAGAAAATGCTATCTGTCTGAACAAATACTCCTGAGTCAGTCAAAGGAACACTAAGAGAAATCTCAAGTTTCATAAAAATGAACCATATTGCCAACATTCCCTCGGGCCCTAGAAGACCAAATAGTCATAGGTCAGTTATTACTATTTCTGTATTAGTGGTAGAGAAACAGGTCAGAGTAGTAAAGTTCTTCCCATATAACCATGTCAGAAACCAGCCTCACAGATGTCATTTTTTGGCTCATGAGCCACTCAGTTTCCCCCAGTCATCATGACACCAAGAATATGTTCTGATTTCCTAACAGGAAAGCTGATTTTTTAAAAATTACCTAATTGCCTTTAGATCTAAAATGACATTCATTCACTCATGATGATTGTACTTCATTAGCACCAGTATCCTAAAAAATGACTATGACACATACACAAATACTTGCAAAACAGACCTGAATGGGATAAGCTAGCTCACCACAGGATTTGCCCAATGACTGTTAAAAATAGGTAGCATGTGGAAGTGTTCCAGTATTCTTTAGGGGACTGTCCACTGCTCCTCCCCCTCAATTCAGACCCCTGCCAGGAAAGGGGTGATCATATTATATTGAGAAACTCAGCACTTGCAGCACCTACCTACCCCCCAAATATCAAAAGTATTTTTCTAAAGCTATTCCCTCTACTTATGGACAGAATTCTATTTTTTTTTTTCCTTCTTAGCATGAAGAATATTCTAACATTCTGAGACAATTAAAGATACCACAATTCCAAACTTCTGTTTCAGGGTACATAACCACCTGGCAGTGAAGTAGCGTGGATTTTCCAGTGCTTTCCTGTGTTTTCATGGGCTGGCTGTCTTCTTTTCTTCGCAGCCCCAGAGCCACCCCAGATTCTGCAGGAACTCCAGCCTATTACTGTGCAGTCTGGCAAGCCTGCCCGCTTCTGTGCTGTGATATCCGGCAGACCGCAGCCCAAAATTTCCTGGTATAAGGAAGAGCAGCTGCTTTCCACTGGGTTCAAGTGCAAATTCCTTCACGATGGGCAAGAATATACACTTTTGCTCATTGAAGCCTTCCCAGAGGACGCGGCCGTCTACACCTGTGAAGCCAGGAACGACTACGGAGTCGCCACCACCTCAGCATCACTCTCTGTGGAAGGTAGAAATGCCTTGCTACTTCTCAGCTTAAACTGAAACCTGAGAAACTCGCTTTTGCATTCTCTTAGGGCATTTAAAAAATACAGCTTGGAGGTCCTAAAGTAGATTGCTATACGACTTGGAAACTTTGAAAGGGTTCCATGACCAGATAAATTAAGAGAAATTGGCATGCTTCATTCTGGGAGGTCTGTAGGGTGACTTAATCCTGACGAGTCTTGTGGTCCCTTTCTTTAGTTCCGGAAGTTGTCTCTCCTGATCAGGAAATGCCAGTTTATCCTCCTGCTATCGTCACCCCACTTCAGGACGCTGTCACTTCTGAGGGACGGCCAGCTCACTTTCAATGCAGAGTTTCTGGAACAGGTAGGTTTACCAGGAAGGGTAGAGTTGCTAATATTTAAAAAGAATGATGTAAGTGAGGAAAAGGTTTCCTCATCCCTTCCTCCCTTACAAACAGTTCTCATTCATAATTTGAAGTTTAATGGGCATCTTGCAGAACATTTACTTGAATTAGTGAATTAAGAATTAGATCAGTGTTTTCCACTACTATTTTTAGGACTATACACCTGAAAATAGTGAAAATGATAAACTTCATGCTGTGTATTTAAAAGAAAAATTCAGTGTTTTTCAGTGTTTTAAACTTACAAAAATGTCATATTTTCTTTATGGTTGTAGTTAGACTTTTGTTATCTCTTGAAAAAATACAACAAAGCCTACAATCATTATTAAATTAATTATAATAGCATCTACATATGTTTTAAAAGAAGAGTCTATTTATATGTAAGATGTTCAGTCTATGGACAGTGCTTGTGTGAAAAGGCACATCCATTTAGAAAGCAGTGTCTGGTCCTGGACAAAAGTGGGAGCCTGACGACTGGAGAGGTTGAATTTGAATCTTAGCTCCACTGTGTGACCTTCGGCAAAGACATGATTCCTCTGGTCTCTTTCCCTCATGAATAAAGTGAGTATAATATTGCAGTCATAAAATATACATTTCATGAGGGCAGGAATTCTAAATATTGAAAACCTGGTGCCTGAGAAGCAGTAGCTACTAGAAGGAAAGCTCTGTGAAAGCAAGGGTAGATCCTTGTCCTAGAATAGCTCTGGACATAGTAGATGCTTAATCATTGTTGATTGGACAAAAGCATGATTATTAAATGGCTGATATCCACTGCTCCAGATCATTCATCGTGATTATGTTAGCTAACCCACATTAGCACGTAGCATAGTGCCCATCCAAAAGTAATCCCTCAATCTGTTAGCTGTTATGATTTTTTAATTGCTGCAAGTTTCCCAGAGACCAGGAGCCCCTCCCGTTCCCCCAGGAGTCTGACCTTAGGAGAATAAGACAGACTGTTTGGAGCCATTTTTCCCCAGTGATGATTGTAGACTGACAGGGTAAGCCAACTTTATCCCAAATGAAAAACCTTTTCTCATTTTCTTGGCTTTTATATGCCACCACAGAGGGAAATTCTCCCAGCTTGGGCGTCTCGCAGCACTCCTAGTAAGTTTGTTTTGTTTATAGTGCTCCTCCCATTCGTTTATGACCCAGTGTCTACCTTGCCAGAAGCCATTTTCCTAAACAAGTTAGTATTTCTGCCATGCTTGTATCACCTAATGATTTCCTCCTCTGATTTGGAGATGCTGATCTAGAAACCAAATAGACCCATTTGGTTTTATGAGCATAATTAAAGGATACAAAGTATATAAAACACTTATAGGCATGACATGGCTGACAAGTGGCTGGTACTCAATATATTAATTTTATTACAACCACTGAAAGGAGTTATAGAAACATAAAAGCCTGGTAATGGGGGACCAACATAAATAAATACTATAGACTTTGTTACTTTAGAACATAGTGTTGGAGAAACCCTAAATATTAAGAAATGAGAACTGAGTTGATAATATCTTACTAACACAAGAAAGAAAAAATAATTTTAATTTTAAGTTCACCAAAGTCACATTAAATAATTTATCTATTTGTTGAATTTTTAGAGGAAAATCTTTGAATAACTATATGTAAATATGGACTATCTAAAGTAGTAGTCTTACATATATTTATATAGTGCTTTTTTAGGTAAGTCATTTTATAGTTTGCCTTTAGAATGTTGTAAAAATACATTTGAAGCTTTACCAGACCTCAATTGGGATAGCAAAAGAAAAATATCTTTTCTATATGGGCAATGTCTTTAAATGTTTGAACGGACTTTATAAATTCATGTGATCATTAACTCTCTCTGTGTGATAATATTTAGATATATACAGAGGTTTTAGCATCCTGTCATAATGTATTTTCTATGTAACAAAAATTAAATTCATTGAATAAAATGCCTTTTTAAAATAAAAGCTTACTGAATCACGTTGTTTTCATGCCCCTCGGACTGAAAATATTTACACAGCTTGCCTTAAGAAAGTAATGCAACTCTCTACAAACTGGAGGAAAAAAATGTAGGCAGAAGCCCCAGTCTCATGTTATGGAAATCAGTACTTACGGAAGCACAGAATGTGATCCGAGCGATCTGGTGGCACTTTTATGAGTGAAAATGTTTCAACTGAAGGTCTCTGGTGCCACCTACTGGTAGCAGAGACATTTGGAAAAGTAGAATTTTAGAGCGTAATAAATCTAGCTTTTGGCTAGTGTTCATTCTGTAATGAGTCTGTATCATTTGGAGGCTTACAGAGTGGAAACTAGCTACGTGAAATGGTAAATAATTAGTTAGGCAGTGAGGAATACCCATCGCTCATTTAAGCATCTCTTGTTTTTTTCTACCAATATTTGTGCCCTGCTGTTGAGGCATCATGCTAGGTTCTAGGGCTCCCACACCTGTCCCTGGCTTCATGGAGCTCAAAGTGTAGGTGAGGAGATGCACGGCTGGATTCCAAGGTTGTAAGTGCTGTAACAGCCCACCCACTCAGGGCTATCTGTCTGGGAGACAGCTGGGGAAAGGTGCATGGATGCCACACTGAGGAAGTAACAGGCTTATTGAGCACAGTGGTGCCTCAGAGTTGTAAAGGTTTGCCAGAACACTTGTGCTGGCAACAAGTGGTTTAAATATGGTCTTTTAATGAGGGAGCTGAGAGGCTAGAAAAGAAGGCAAGGGCCAGATACTAAAGTATTGGTATTCTATGGTTAGTTAGGACACCTGTCTACTTTGAGGAATCACTGAGAGATTTTTAAACTCCTCAGTAACATGATCAGGCTTGCTTTTGGGAAGCAACACTGATAGTGAAAGGAGGAATGGACAGATGTGGGAGATGAGCCTGGAGATGAGGGACCAGCAGAGAGGCTGGCATCCTTTCATATCATAAGGATAGGCTTGGGAAGTGTTGACAATGATGGGAGTCAGACGAGAGAAGGGGGCAGAGTGCGCAAGAGTTCAGGAGGTAGAATGAATGAGACCCAGGGACCAAATGCAGTGGTGTCTCGGGGGTGAGGAGCAGAGGTTGTGGGGTAGCCTCACGGGAGCCGGGAGAAGCCAGTGACGAATGCAGAGGCCAGCAAGAAGCATCGAGTCCACTGCCAAGACAGATCTTGCCCTTTAGCTCATCTCTTACAGGCAATCCACGCCTGTTCTGCTTCATTCATTTCACCAAAGGATGAAGTTGTCAGGGAAAATAAGCATTCTTCTAAGGACTAATACTCTCTACCCTTCCCTTTCCTTTGAGGACTAAGCAAACAAACCAAGTGTTTGTAGGATGACTTTTACATCCTATGTGACAATATTCCTTTTATATCCCATGACCCTGTTTTTTTGGCAAGTTGTTGAAGGCATTGCTGATCCCTTGTGAGGTTAGCTATTCTTGCTTAATGACTGAATGTGCCTATTGTTTATAAAGCCCTTTCCTCTGTGTATCATGGAATTCACACAGCAGTTTTATAGCCTTTGAATTATTATGCTTCTTATTTGACAAATGAGAAGACTTATTCAAAGAGATTAGCTTACATGTCTAAGGTCACATGGCTGATAAATTGTATTGTCAGGATTCCATTTCCTATCTTACCTTGCTACCTAAGGAAGTGGAAAGATTTGTTTCTGTAAAAGGAGCAGTTGTTTATAAACAACTACCATAGAGGGAAGTGGGGGAAACCATCATAAACCAGCAGTTATGCAAAAATGCAAGCAAACACTAAATGATTGGACTGTTGGAAGATCCCCATGGGTCAAATTGAGATAAGGAAGTAACATAATGACCACATTGCAAAAAGAAGATGCTTTTGATTTTGGCTTTTAAAACAAGTGACTGAATTTGAATCTACATTTGACTTACAGGGTTATTGCTTTAATGAAAGGATACTAATTTTAAAAGTACACATCACCTTAAACTATAACAGCATATACTATTTTATCCTTGGTTTGGGTTTTTATTTTCTCTCATTTTAAGATGCTTCAAATCCTTGTGTGGAAATAGCTAGTTATATTATTATTTATTATTACTGCTACTTTGAAAAGAAGCCAAATTTATCTAAGGTGCCCAAATTTCATGAATCTTTCAGCTTTAAAAATTATTTTCTGATGTGCTGAGACCTTCCAATGCTTGCCCCTTGGTAACAAAATAGTAGAGATTTTTTTTCTTCAGCCTTCAATGGGATCTCTTTTAGACCTTATGGAGTGTTGATCATTTCAGCTCTAAAATTTGATGGATCTTTCTCCCTAAGCAGATTTTCCTCATTTCCTGTCTCAGTAGGCAACCACAGTCTCGGTGACCTTGAGTGGTCACTATTTCTCACGACAGGCCTTCTCTCAAAGTTACCAAATGTGTGAAAATCTCATCTTTGCTTCCATAGCGCAACATGCAAATGATTACAAGGAATATAACTAAAATTGTAAAATTTCAAACATTCTAACTCCTCCATAAGCTGGATTTCTCTAAAATCATGTTTCCTTCTTAAAAATGACAAGAAATCATGTAAGATCAGATGTGGCATACCCAACAGAAAAGTATCATACTATTTAGAGAAATATAAAATTAGTCACCTGTATAGTCCATTTTGTGTTTGCAGGTAAATAAAAATACCCACTTTGGGTAATTTAAAGATCCTTTTCCTTTTGTATTACAGATCTAAAAGTGTCTTGGTACAGCAAAGACAAGAAAATCAAGCCATCTCGGTTCTTTAAAATGACTCAGTTTGAAGACACTTACCAACTGGAAATTGCTGAAGCTTTTCCAGAAGACGAAGGAATTTATACTTTCGTTGCCAGCAATGCTGTAGGTCAAGTCTCAAGCACAGCCACTCTGAGACTGGAAGGTATGGTAAAACAGTTTTAAGAGCCACATTTAAACATAGATCTCATCTTACAATGTCGGTAACAATCACTGAGGATTTCATGTAAATTATCGTTGGTCCTACCTTTCTCTTAATGCAACTAATTGTTTCCATGTTACATGCAATGTTCTCGCTTTTCAGTTACCCCTCTCATTATGAATCACAGAGCTTATCATTTTTTATTTTGTCCTGCTTTGTCTCCATAGTATTTTGTAATGTATTGCTCTCATTACCAGCTTTCATGCTTCCTGAGCAGCATGTATCAGAATGGGGAGAAACATATGCTAGAGAATTAGGTAGATTTATTTTCTCATCTGGTTAGCATGAAAATTTTTTAAAAAAGAATTTTTCAGTGTAAGAGTGTTCCTGTCCCACCACAGTAGTGACAACATTCTGATTTCCCAGAAGCTACTGTGGATGATTTCAGGTCTGTACATCAGCTGGATGTGTTTTGCCATCATTCAAAGAATGCTTGAGGATTGAGAGGCTCAGTTGTGAGATGGTTTAACATTTCTCTATTCCTCGGGGCTCTTAAAATGCATTCAGAAACACTTCCTCAGTATCAGGGCAAGAGAGGGCACTTTGATTCAAAATGAGATAGTATTTTTATACAGTCAGACTGTTTTTCCCTGGCAATTTAGTCTGTAATATCTTTTATTTGTTTCCGGCTGCATTGGGTCTTCTAGTTACGGCTCGCTGGGTCTTTGTTGAGGCACGAGCGCTTCTTTCTAGCTGTGGCACTTCAGCCCTTTAGTTGTGACATGTGGCCTGAGCTGTCCCACAACATATGGGACCTTAGTTCCCCGACCAGCGATTAAACCCACGTCCCCTGCATTGGAAGGTGGACTCCTAACCCCTGGCCCACCAGGAAAGTCCTTAGTCTCTGTAACAGTAAACATATACAAATACATGAAGAGTTAGGGCAGCTCTTTTTTCCTTAATTTTAAAAACTTCATTTTGATAACCAGAGGTTTTCTTAGTAATCAGTGTAATGTGGTTTACCAAAAATAAAAGTTGGTCTTACAACCAGCAGGGGAAAAAATAACAGAAAACAAGACTGTCTAACCTGAATTGCACACTCTGCTACTGCCTTCATGAACAATGTATGAAATTCCTTAGACTATTCATGCCTCAGCGTGTCTGGAGAATGGAAGGGAACTTGTGTGATTTTGAATCAATAGTGGCATATGTTGACAAGGCATCAAGATTGGATTGGATTCTAGCCCCCCATTGAAATTTGCACCCTAATGAGTTCTGGTTTCAATGCAGGGTACGTACGACATTAAAGGTTGGCATGCTTCTTTTCAGGATTTAGCACACTTGAAGAAGTTACATCCAACTCTCAATGGCATATCTCTTCATCAGTTTCATTTAAGAAGGAGCCCCTTGGCCAAAAGCCCATCTTCATCCAGCCTCTATCCAGCCTCAGGGTGCACAGCGGGGAGACAGTCAGATTTCATGCCAGGATTTCTGGCATTCCCAAGCCAGAAATCCAGTGGTTTCATAACCAACAATCAATTCTACCAACAAAAGATATAGTTTTCCACTTTGAGGAGTCCACGGGCTTGGCTTTAATGCTTATAGTCGATGCTTACTCAGAGCATGCCGGGCAATACCGTTGCAAAGCAGCCAATAGCGCTGGGGAAGCCAGTTGTGCAGCTACACTCACAGTGACTCCAAAAGGTAAAGGAAGCCCAGCTCGCTTCAAAGGCTTTGACCTGCTGCATCCCTGCTCCCCGCACTGTTACTAACGACAGTCTCTGCTGTGTGTCTCAGTGCCTATTGTGGCTGGTCCATCATTTACTAACAGTCACCCCAAGTCCTCAACTATGGTTTAACCAGTATACTTGAAATCTCACTGAAGTATGTGTTCAGGGCATTACACTAGTTATCATTTGGGAAGATCCCCTGGAGGATGGCTTGGCAACCCACTCCAGTTTTCTTGCCTGGAGAATCCATGGACAGAGGAGCCTGGTGGGCTGTAGTGCACAGGATCACACGGAGTTGGACATAACTGAAGCTACTTAGCATGCAGGCGTCAACTTTGCTTGACATTTTTACTTTTCTAAACAACATCTCATCATTGCATCATTAATGATCTATTTGCTACCTATTGTTGATAAAGTCTATGGGGGAGGGAGGACAAATTATATCCCAAATGGAGTCAGGAAAAAAAGAGTGGTTATATCACTCTGGGAAGCTGCAATGACAACAGGAAGGAAGGAAGCAGATACTTCATGGCATCCACGTGAGCCTTCATCATCCATTCATCACTGCATCACTGGGAATGAACTCTCTATTGTGTAATCCTGACACCCTGGAGCACACCGTATCTGGAAGGCTGCTTCTGAGCGACAGTGATATAGTTCATCTTCATCTTCCATGCCATTTTATTTTATTAACCTGGCCAAGTGACGAAGCTTAGATCTTAATATTCTTTTCTTTTTCTTGTCACTTATCATACAGTGCAAACCCTAGCTAGGCAAAGTTCTGGGAGAGATGGAGTGTCCACCAAGTCCCACACAGTGACAGAGTCCTCTTTCACAAAGCAGGACTGGCAGAATATTGCAGAGCGAAATGAAATCTTTTCAGGGATCATCATATGAATATGAATTGCAGGTCTTTAAAAGTGTATCTCAAAGTTCCACCCACACAACTGCATCCATTGAAGATGTACAGTTGCACCAGGCTGCATCCGTTTCACAAATTGCAGAAAGCACTGAGTTATCTGAGAAAAGTGCTGAAGAGCCGATGGGTGAAGTATCAAAGATTCTCCTGCATCTTCAGGACCTCTCTGTAAAGTGCAGTGACACGACTCAATTCCTCTGTGTTGCAGAAGATGAGTCTTCTGTTGATATAACCTGGATTTATGAAGGTGTAAAGCTAGAGGAATGTAAGAGAGTGAAGCAGTTACAAAATGGAAATATTCAGTCTCTTACCACATGTAATGTTCAGCTGCTAGACCAAGGATTATACAGCTGCACTGAACACAATGAATATGGAGAGAAGACAATGGCAGCAGTGCTAAGACTAGAAGGTGGTTATTGGATTTTTAGCTCTGACTTGCTTCATTTCATCCTCATCACTTCATGCAGCTTTTCTATCATGCAAATTGTATCAATGAATGTATTCATTAAAACACCCTTAAATTAGCACTCTATTCATAAATGACTTATGAAAATCAGCCAACTCATTGGCTAAACTTATGAACATGTAACTTTCTGCTCTAGATTCATGGAAGCGTAACTTTCAAATCTGAGTTCAGGAAGTTAAGGTTTGTTTCATATGTGCCATTTTTTCTAATGTTTACCAAACATACCACCTAGGAAGTGGACCAAAGTAGTTTAAGGTGACATAGATCATTGAGTTTTTATTGAGTGTTTATTATTGTGCCTGGCATTGTCTGGACCAAAATTAGTAGTCTTTAGACATTTCTCAATCAATGCTGCTGCTTTACAATCTCAGCTCCTTGCAGAATTGTAGAATTATCTCATAGCAAGATACTATTTTTGTTGTTTTTGTGCTTAACTCACCACTGTGTCTGGAAGGACATGAATTGTATTTATCTGGGCAAAGGGTAATGTCTTCCTTTCATCCTTGGATTGTCTTCTTCACTATTAATGAAATGAGAAAATATCTCATGTACTCGAATCCCATGCTGTGTGTCTGCAGGCAAAGGACCTTCACTGAATCCCATGGAGGGAAACGGGAGAAAGAAGTTTGGGCATCTCCGGGAGTCTATGGAGCTGTGCCCTTTAGTTCTTCCCTGATCCAGCCATGCTATTTTTGAGGGGTTAGAAATGAACAGGGGGCAACACAGTGCTAAGTGCGTGGCCATCTTTGCGCTACATTTTGAAACAGATTAATTAACTCACTTAGAGTATCTGCAATCCTCACTCATCAGAAGGAGGATTTTTTTTCCTTTCTTAATCTGACAGTTTTGGTCTATAGCTGTTTCTGATTAATTTTCAAAGCCTAAGAAAAGAATAGTTCAAGAACTGAGGTCTAATTATGCAAATTAGTTGAAAATTAGGTGGAAAATTCCACCATCCTGAAAGCCGACCCTCAGTTTCACCATGGCTGCTAGCTAGCACAGTCATCAGACAGGTAACTATCTACCTGGATGTGTTGTCTACAAGCCTTGTAGGTGACCACTGGGACCATTCCCGCAGGGAAATAATTGGGAGCTGCCTGTGTTTTGGAGATGTGAGCAATGTAGGCCTTTCAACTTGCTTCCTAAAGAATTTAGTGCCCTAGGACAGTGCTTGATCACCATGTTCCATGTTCTCAGAGTGGATTTGAACTGGACATTTTTGCCTTGGAATTTCCAATTCACTCAGTTCCAACAGATTATATTATTAAAATGTTCTTGGCTCATGAGCATTTTTCCCCCCTTGGCAAGTCCAGACTGCCTTATTTAAGAAAATTAAAAGATAAGCCACCTTTAAGTGTATGAAGAGTAAAGGCTCAGACACAGTTATCTAATTATCTAATATGAGCCAGTCTTTATCTGGTCCTCTTGTATTTTGCCCTAATGACATTATATAGGTTACAGAGTTAGCCACGAAAGTCAGATAGGAATGTGAACCCCCGTAAGTCTGTTTGGGTAGAGTTCTCATGTGCATAGTAAGCATAGATAAATATCAGTTTTGAGATTAATGTGCTGCTTTCTCTCTCATCCTAATGACATTCCATCTCTGAATTCTGCATGCATTTTACAAACACACTTAATTTATTACCTTTCCCAAACTTTATTCTTACCAAGCAAAAGTATTGCAAATTCAAGCATTTACAAAATTACCCTTGGTTCAGACACTAAAAGTCTTAAAACACTCAGAGAGTCCCAAATTAAAACAACCCATGAAGTAGAGAGAGCGTCGTCAAAGAAAACAAGTTTGTCGGTAACTTCACGCCAAGAGACCACAAGGAACTGAGAAGCCAGGGCAGAAGACCCGCTGACTTGTGTCACGCAGACAGAACGAGAGTGGTACCTGGACATCTGCTTCCTCCAGAAGCCACCCTGAGACGATTGCGTCTAAAGGCTGTGACTTTTCCTTATATAATAAAAGCAACTTTGAGCTGAGGACTCTGTGTTTTGCTCTTTAACATATAATCGGACTTTGCGCAAAGTTTTAAAAGTGGTTTCAAATCAAAAGAGTTTTTACTAGCAGGAAACACATTTCTTTAGGGAAAGCTGAGTTAAAAGTGGCAAGTTAGAAAATGCATGTTTCTTCTAAATGTGATTTTTGTCTCTTAGCAAGTATTCAGTCAATAAGACAATTAAAAGAAATATTCCTATAGTTTATGGATTGCTTTTCTCAATGCATGTAAAAGGCATGGGGAATTATGGAACTAAAAGTGGAAATTTCACAGAGAAGCTAAAATAAAAAGGTTTTAAAATCTTTCTGTCATCGTCGTGTACCTTACCAGCTCATTGATTTGTTTGGCATGGATTTTGAGGGGTGCATTTGGGGTATGTAGTTTTCTATTATTATAATAAAGAGAAAATTGTAATTATATGAATCATGAATTGAGGCAGAAAGTATATGGAATTAATCATGCAAATCTCCTGTTTTTCCATTCTAGCTCCTGAATCAATGTTGCATGAGCAGATTGAGATGGAGATGAAAGGTATTGTTACATTGAATGTGAGATTTAAATAGAAATTCTGAAGGATTAATAAAATCCTTGAGCTTCTTTCTGTTAGTATTATTGAGGAAAAATGACATAGATGTACAAATATATCTCTTAGAGTATATATTACTATGTCGCATGCCTGGTTTAATATGCTGATGGACACACAATCATTTGTTTTATGGTAATTTAAACTTTTGTATTTAAAATTTATCAGCCATATTCAACTTCTTGTTTGCAGACATTTTCAAAAGCGTATATTAGAAAAGGTTTTCATCTTAATGCATGAAATCATAAGTAGAAGTTTGTTTTCAAAATCACAGTGAATTAAATTGAACAATAGACAATAACCTAGCTGTCATTCTCAGAATGCAATGTCATGAATGAATTATCATTGAAATGCTTTTTTGTTTAGGATGTGTGACAATGTTACATTCCCATTCTGGTTTACACTTCATGCACATACATCATTTTAACATTGATATGTCTCTTACACTGGCTTGCAGATAGCTGCCTTATGTGATCCTTAGTGCCTGCTTTTCTTTGCATAACATCGTGACTTTATGGCTGTATTAGTTCGAATAAACGCCTTCTCATTTTATTTTATTTTAGCTAATTATTTATGGTCTTAGTTCTCATATATATTTCTTAAATAGTTAATTCTCCAAAAATATAATAATTTAATCTATAATCAAAAGAATCAGAAAGGGCGTTTATTCCACTCTCTGCAAGTCAGGTAAGATTTTCCTCTTAGCCATCAAAAGAACAAAGTTTTCCTGCTCTCAAAACAAATACGCACAGGAACATGTTATTTTGAAATGCATTTTCGCTTGTTCAAGAAGAAATTTCAGCAGTTTGAAGAAAAGACCAGACAACGAACGATTTTCGTGTCAGAATCTTTTAAACAGAGCATGGTGTTGCGTTTATTCGAACAAATATGGTGAGTGAATTTTTTTTATGGATTTGTGAGAATCTGTAGCATGCTCTTTATTTCATTTTCTATTTTGCAATTTCATTTATTTTCAACTTTTTCAAATACTATGGAAAATAGTAAAATGCTTTCTAATTGAACTTTTGTTTTAGAGTCATCCTCTGAGGAAGAATCTGAGCATTCAGAGAGAGAGACCCGTGATGCCTTCTCAGATTCTGAAGATATAGACCACAGCTCCATGGCGGCTAAAAGATATGCAAGTAGAATATCATCAACAAGCTCCTGGCCAGAATATTTCAAGCCTTCTTTTACCCAAAAACTTACATTTAAATATGTTTTTGAGGGTGAACCTGTTGTTTTTACGTGTAAATTAATTGCCTGTCCAACTCCAAAAATGACTTGGTTTCAAAACAATCGACCTATCGCAACAGGGCTTCGTCGGGTCATAAAAACAGAGAGTGATTTACATCATCACTCTTCCAGCTTAGAGGTTAAAAGTGTTCAAGACCGAGATTCTGGAAGTTATAGATTATTAGCAATTAATAGTGAAGGCTCTGCTGAATCAACTGCATCATTGCTTGTAATTCAAAAAGGGCAAGATGAGAAATATTTAGAATTTCTGAAAAAGATAGAACAGACACATGGAAATGTGGCAGCTTTAGCTGAAAGGAGAGAAGGGAGGTTGAAGGTTGACCTGAGGTTTACTGGTTCTCCCTTTAATAAGAAGCAAGACGTGGAACAACAGGGAATGATGCGAACTATACACTTTAAGACAGTGTGCCCTGGCAGGAAAACAGATTTAATGTATAAGGAAGAATATTTAGAAAGTAAATCTGACATAAGGGGATGGCTTAATGTAGGCGAAAGTTTCTTGGACGAGGAGACCAAAATGAAGTTGCACCGTTTAAGGGAGGCTAGAAAAATGTTGATGGAGAAAAAGAAATTATCTCTGTTAGACACGTCATCTGAAATAAGTTCAAGAACTCTGAGAAGTGAAGACAGTGATACGGATGTTTTGTTCTCTAGAGAAGAAGTAAAAAGCAGTTCTATGCCTGATCTAGCTGACGATAGGGAAGAGGTAGATAGTTCAACTGAGGGCATTGTCCAGGATCTGCAGGTCCTTCCTAATTTAATGGATCAAAATGTGGAATCTGGAGAAGCTCCCACAACCTTTCACACTGCTGAGGAAATTCTCCAGACTGAAATGAGAATGAGCCAAGAGGCATTTCTAAGAGAAAGTCTATCAAGAGACCATTTATACAGTAAGATTCTAGTAAATGAGACTCTCCAAGCAGGAGAACACCTTGAAGCCATTGTGACCCAAACCAAAATTGCAGAGTCATCTGAAGATACCATGAATGTAAGTAAGAATGAGGAAATATTTGAGACCCCTGAAAAGGTGTCTCAAGTTACCACACCATACACCAGTGAAACTTTTGGCTCAGTTGTAAATATCCAAGAAAGTGAAGCCTTAGATATTGAAATAAGAAAAGATGATCTGAGAGAGTTACAACACTCCACCTCTGTTAAAGTTGATGAATTTGAAACTGAACAGGAAGAAAAAGTCACAAGACATTTTGAAAATCCTTTCCAAAAACGTCTGCAGCATTGCCCACCTTCATTTCTTCAAGAAATGGAATCTCAAGAAGTTTATGAAGGTGACAGTTGTGAATTTGTGTGCCATTTTCAAGGATATCCTCAACCCATAGTGACATGGTATAACAATGATATACCAATCCCACGTAATCGAGGCTTTATCACGCAGACCTTCGAAAACCATTCTATATTAACCTTTTCTTCTGTTCTTCCTCAAAATGAAGGTTTCATTACCTGCGTGCTATTTAACCAATATGGAACGGTAAAAACAACAAGTGTGCTTAAAGTGAAGTCAAAACAAAGGCATGATCTGGAAGCATATAGGGTCCCAGTGTTGCAAGACTACACCGATGAGGAAGAGGAACTGATGTTGGTGTTTGACCAAGCAAAAGGCATACCTCCTCCTTTAAGACAGGAGGGCCAAACAAACCTCCATATGTTAAAAACTAACCCACCAGTTCCCCCCTCTGCAGACACAGAACTGCTTTCCTTTCCTGTAGAAATTCAGATAACGGCAGCTACTCCTACCCCAGAACAGGATAGAGAGTCAAGAGACTTGCTTCAACTGGAGGAGTTGGAACCTAAGGCAATGCCTCAGGATGAGGTGACTCGCTTACCAAAACACAAGTTCATATTCTCTTCTGACATTACTAACGAGCCACCAGAAGTGTTACAGGAAATGCCACAACATGCCAGGTGTAGAGAAGGGGATTCTGTAGTCCTTGAATGTTTACTCTCTGGTGAGCCTAAACCTGCTGTGACCTGGTTCCACAACGGAGTCCTTTTAAGGCAGAACCAGAAGTTCCAGTTTGAAGAAATTAATTGTTGCCACAGGCTATATATTAATAATGCTAATTCTCAAGATTCTGGGAAATATAGATGCGTTGCTGAAAACAATTCAGGCGCAGTTGAGAGTGTTTCAGACCTAACAGTAGAACCTGTCACTGACAGGGAATATAGTCAATTGGAAAATATGGGTGGAATTTATGCCAGATATTCCAAAGATCAGCACATTCAGGGAGAACCTGTAAGGGCACATTTTTATGATTATCCAACTGGCTCTTTTACTCCCCAATCCAATATAAAAGAATATTCTGTAAGAGAGTATTTTCAAAGCCCTGAGACAGTTGAACAGATAGAGCAGAAAGTCCCTGTTTCTTGCACATCTTATAGAGAAAAACTGCCCAGATTTATGCAGTGCACTTCTAGATCCTTAAGAATCAACAAGCCTCTCCGAGCTGAACTCATACAATGGCAAGATGAAGGGAAAGAGTTACATGTAAATGAAAAATCAAAGCCACATCAAGCAGAGGGGACTGTTTATCCATTTGGTGATGATTTCAGTGAAGTTAAAAATAGAAAAGAAGTAAGAAATGATTTTGGAAAATTCAGTGGACCAGAGAGGGAAAACGTGCAAAAATATGCCCAGACTGACTATTTACCAAATATCCACTCTGAGAGAATTTCTGATAGTTACAGTACAAAAGAATCATCCATCATTGTATGTGAAGAACCCTTTGGTGAAGAGAGATACTACCCAGGAAAAAAGGTGAGGCATAGAATTATCACATTTGAAAAGTTACAACAGGTAGAAAAAGGTGTTCTAGAAAAAAGACCTACCAAGAAATCATTTGTGAAGCCTCCTCAAAAGAAGCTTGATGACAAAGACTTTCCATTAAGACAAAGAAAATCAATACCAAGTAACCTACACACAAATGTGCTTGAGGCAGAGGAAATGTCTCCAAACACTGAACAGGATTCGTCCAACATTGTAATGAATTTAAAGCTACTTTCTTCTCAAACTCATAAGGAGTCTGAATTACAAGAAAGGGAACAACAGAAGGAAATAGCTCTTACAGTTCAATCTGCAATTTCTGAAAGGGCTGAATATGAAGCACCTGTTACATTTGACCTCAAGCAATTTCATGCTCAAATAGAAACTGCAGATGTAAAATTTCAAGAAGTTAAATTACATGGTGATCAACCAGAAGAAACTTATTTTCAAACCCAGCATCCTGCTTCTGAAGCCACCGATGCTGAGAACCTTGTATTTGATCTGAAACAAATGTATTCTCATTTAGGAGACCCAGCTAAGGCGTTTCAGGAGCAAAAAACTAGTCAGGGGCAGGCAACACCATATAAAGAGGAAGTTCTTAGCCCTGAAACCATACAATCTGATACACAGGATACCTCTCAAAGTGTGCAAAGTAACATACTTGCAAATCCAGAGATTTCTTCCAGTAAGGAGTTTTCAGATAGGACTCTGAGGGAGAAAAGTGGCAGTGATGAAAATGCCTTTTATTTGGAAAAACATACGCAGGAACAAAATTTAGAAATTTTAAATACTGATATTTCTCTTAAAACTTTTTCTGAAGAGATCTATAGTGAAAGATATGCCCTACTTCAGAGTTCATCTGCTGATGTAGGAGAAGCTGATACATCTGAGAAAAATGGAGATGGGAGTTTCATC